CTTCAGCTGCAGTGATCTTTCCTCTGGCTACTGAGATTTCTCCTGGATTTCTCCTGGATTACGGATATCCATGGATCTGACTTGACCTTTGATTTACTTCTTCATTGTCTTAGAGGTAAATTAGACAAACTGCTGTTGGTGGAAACATGATAAGAAGTTCAATTTCTTTTTTTTTTTTGACTACATTTAAACCCAGCTTTTAAGTTGAAAATACGCCCTTTATTATCCACAAACTGGGCTGTTCCTTTGTTTTTAAGATATGACTGGCACACACACACAAACGGAATCCAGAGATTGCGCAGTAGGTCACATTTACTCAAAAGACGTCCACAAAGCATGTGAGACTCTTTACATCATCTGAGACGCATTACTTCACTACTAAAATATAACATCCGTTTAAAACTGTGTTTATCTCATTAAAATGTATTTATAATTAACATTTAAAAACACAAAAGCGGACCAAAGTGCTGTGCACCAAAACATAAAAAAAACAGTGTAAATACAACTAGCAAAAGCCATAAGAACAATTATTTTTATATACTGTATGAATACTTGTATACACATTTACTTTCTTTTTTCAAATAGACTTGATATGGACTGCACAGTGAATACCATATGTAAACTTTGAACTAACACAGCTAAATCATGGATTTTGTTTGTCTATTCCCAAGCCTTAGCACTTTACTGTGTGTGACTGTCACAAGCTCCTGGGTTAACAACACCATCAACAAACTCTGACTCTGTCTGGAACCAAATCCACAACCTCACAATGAATAGATTTATCCATATATCGTCTGACTTTTAAACTGAGATTGTCTCAAGACTATCAAAACTCAAGGACACAAGTTTAACGTTAAAGGTTTAACGTTCAGGACATGATGGATTAGACTGAATGAGAAACTCTGAACAAACAAGAGTAGTCCTGTGACACTGTGTGACACACAAAAAAAGAATCCTCAATGAAAGAAACGACATGCTGCTTTCCTCTAACGACGTAAGGATTGTAAAGCTGCTCAAATATGTTTGCCTGACCTTCTGCTTTATGACTGTGCTATGAGGTGGGGGTTGTGCTTGTGACCTCATTTGGCTTAATCATTAAGTATTAGAGGAACATTCAAAAAAAGAGTTGAAGGTTGTGTGCAGCACAGATTCACAACTGAAACATCAGTAATGCTTGAACAAGTGTCTGCACACTGAAGTTTAGACATGGTCTGCACGGTCAATGCAACAGTCTGGACACACAATGCTGTGCAAACATAAAACAATTGGGAGTATAACGTAGAGGAATAAGTCAACATTCATTAAAAAAATCTGTGTTATAAAAGCACCCAAGGGAATCATTCATCATAAAGCTAAATAAAGCCGAGACGTGATGCACGCTTAGTCCGAGCTCCGTGTCAAAAGTCTGAAAATTGATTAAAACATCCTGCAATTCAGAGACTTTTATAGTTCACGTTATTTGTGGATGTATCCGCGACATGTCGGGCACAGAAACGACGAGAAATAAATTGTCTCAGGATACACCTGCGACGAAAAAGAAAGAGCCTCAGGACTACACAGCCTGACGAGCCATCTAATGCTGCCATCTTGGTAGCATTACAAGAGCAAGAAGATCGGTTGACCAAAAAAGTTAAGCTGGCAGTAGAGGATATGCTCTCAGGTGAAATTCAAACTCTCAAGTCAATGATTGAAAGCACGAACACTGCCATTGCCAAACTTGGTGAGGATATCGCTCAACGAGCCGAACTCGGTAGGAAGCTACAAGGGAGGACGGTTGCTAGTACGGTCAAACACAATGTCGGTGGCCTTCAGAAAGACGTGCTAAAACTTAACCAGAAAATAGCCGAGATGGAAGACAGATCACGGAGATGCAACATCCGACTCGTGGGCTTAGCGGAGTCAGCAGAAGGTAAAAAAACGCTATTCGGTTTCTGCAGGATAAATTACCCGAATGGATCCCCTCTCTTTATTGGAGAAAAGATTGAGATTCAGCGGGCCCATCGCATATATACTGCCCAGGACAAGTCCAACCGTCCCCGAACTTTCGCTCATATTTCAACTCCTCCGGTATCAGGACAGGGAGAAAATCCTCAACGGAGTCAGGGCTCTTCCATCAGCGCCGACACACCAGGCGTCATATGAAGGTCGGACCTTCCAACGTCGAGGCTAATGTTTTTCCCGGACTACAGCACAGAGACAGCCCAGAGGAGAAGAGCCTTTGATGCGGTGAAGAAAACAGATCGCCAACAGAGGATTACGCCCGTTTCTGAGATATCCGGCAACCCTGAAGGTTAAGCATAATGGGACGCTGCACTTCTTCGATAGTGTAGCAGAAGTTTATGTCTGCTAATCCGACAACTACAAATTATACTTTCTTTTCTGCTAGACACAAGACATACTCTCGCATTGACTACATATTTGTCTCCCCCTACCTAAACCGTTGTGTTACATCTGCCAATATTCTTCCAATAATAATATCAGATCATGCCCCAGTGATGTATAGCTTTCATATTGGTCAGAGTGCCTCTAGACACTCCAGTAGATGGCGCTTTAACACAATATTACTCCAAAACACTGACTTACTGACCCTAACCACTTTGCCACAAATACTTTGGGAAACAACTAAATGCTTTTTGAGGGGAGAATCTTCTTCATTTGCCTCTCATTAGAATAAATCAAGGAAACGCAGAATCACACAACTAGAGGGTGACATACATACGTTAGAAACTAGACAGAAACATTGGTTTTCGGAACAGGCACAATCAACTCTTTCTACACTGAAATTTGAACAATTTTCTTCAAGCAAAAGCTGGATTTATAATTCATCGTACTAGATTTACATATTACAGTCAGAGTGAAAGCGCAAGCAGACTTCTAGCTGCCAGATTAAAACAAAATGAATCATTTTCCACCATCGCTGCTATTCAAACTCCATCAGGATCTATTTACCTATGATCCAGATGAAATAAATGAAACGTTTAGATCCTTTTACTCAGATCTGTGTCAGGGTGAATCTACTCCAGATTTGACTGACCTTAAATCATGTTTGTTAAAACTTCATTTCCCGAAGTTAACTACTGAGGAGGCTGACTCCCTCGATTCGCAACTCACCCTCTCAGAGCTCAAAGAGGCCTTCAAATCAATGCAGAAAGGAAAACAGCCAGGCCTTGATGGCCTGCCTCCTGAGCTTCTTCTAGAACTGTGGGATATTATTGGACCACTCATCCTAGATTCTTTAAATTATGCCCTTGATATTGGATCTTTTCATCGCGACCAAAATACATCTCTTATTTCAGCGTTACTTAAAAAAGGCAAATCCCCTCTCAAATGTGGCAGTTATAGACCGATATCAATGATCAAAACAGAATTAAAGCTCTTTGCTAAAGTTTTAGTAGAAAGACTGGAGCCATATGTAGGCAAACTAATTCATTACGACCAAACAGGATTTCTAAAAGGAAGACTGCGGTTTTTAGCCTAGATGCGCAAAAAGCCTTTGATAGGGTGGGTTGGGATTATCTATGGGCAGTTCTTGAGGAGTTTGGATTCTGTAGAAAATGTACATGTATGATAAAATCACTTGACACCAATCCTTATGCAGTCGTTCAAACAGATAACATTACGTCTACACCGTTTCCCTTACGTACCCGTCAAGGTTGCCCGCTTTCTCCACTCCTTTTTGCGTTATCACTGGAACCGTTGGCTCAGGAAATTAGACTGAATAACCAGATATCACCTATCAGTATACGAGATACAAAACATGTGTCTGTAGGTTTTATTTTGTGTGCATGTGTGTGTATGGGTGTATATACTATATGTATATATGTGTGTACATGCATATCATAATTTCACTCAGTAATTTTGTCTTTGTAACAAATTTTATGTTTATTTTTCCTCATCAAGGCAACGGCGATCTGTCATTGAAGCTCATGTGTACAAGCATCTTGTGTAAAATGGTTCTTGGGTTTATTAGTTATCGGAATTTCAGAACCTTTATGTGGAAATATACTGCACTGATTGTGCACTATAATGAGTTAGCGGCAATCACATTAACATAGAAGAATAAGTTAATAGCATAACCAGCAGTCCAGATTTAGTGACATCCACAGTCTTTTCATGCCACAGATTCTGACAGGTGCTCTGTCTGTGCTCAGCAGGGGCCTGTTTTTTGGGGGCGGGGGCTGTGACTATGAGCTGAGATGGCTTGCGTGCACACACACACACACACACATGAAGTTGGCTAATGGATCAGCTCTTCATAACCTCATGATCACTTCAACTATAACTCCCACATACACACGTGCTTGATGTGTCAGTCACTTTCTGAATTACACACTGAACTCTGCCTCTTTATTGGACATACTTATGTTCCACTTTTTTAAACTTCATTAAACTTGTATTTATTTATTTTTTTTCAAATTATATCCACTGTAGTCCTATTATTTGACCTTTGAACTTGGGCTACAACCTGGCAACAGGCACATGGCCAGACAGTAAACACAGCTCTCTGATAACTCAAACACAGCTGAAGTGGGCAGAGTTGAGCAAACAAATCAAAATATTCTGTTCTGACAGACAACTTAGGGTAACATTTAATTTACTATGAGCTAAATGTAAGTTCACTGACTTATTAGTCGCCAGGGAAAGTTACGACTTCAATCATCTATTTTAAGAGGATGCAAATATCACATTATTAGTGCCTGAATAACTATTGAAACACAAGCAAAGAATGAGGACAATGTCAAATAAAAGCCTCATGACTATCATTAAAAGACCAGCTATCACTCTAACACGCAGCTTGGGTGTAAAACGAACCTTTTCAACAGGTGTAGGCTACATTATGGCTACTTAGTGCGACTTTGTCCTTCTAAGCACTTAAATGATCTAATAAGCCTTTAATGTGACACTTCGTACATAGGCTACATAAGTTGTTTTTTTTAAGAAATCGAGGTATCTTTATCTACAGCGGGATTAGACAGTTTGCTTTGTGGAGGTTTCCTTACCGAGCCTCCTGCTGGGATCCACCGTCTTCTCGGCCACTTTCCTCCTCTGCTCTTTGGGATTGGTGGCCGGTGACTTCCCGCTTCCGAACATTATTGCAACTTGTGAAAACTCACGACTTCACCACCGGAGGCTCACCCGACAACTTCCAAGAAGTTTGCGTGTGCAGGTGAGTCTTTCCGCAAGCGCACGATTTGTGTTGGACCCAGAAGAGACCCGAGCAGAGAGAGAGAGAGAGAGAGAGAGAGAGAGAGAGAGAGAGAGAGAGAGAGAGAGTGTGTCGGGAGCACTAGTTATGAGCACATGTAAAAAGTCCCTCCCCGCCGCTGTTGCACCATGCCTGTGCGCAATAAGACTCCAAACAAGGACCACACTTTAAGAGCCCCCACCTCCTCCTCCTCCCAGGCTCAGGATGGTCAAGGCCATAGACACACACTAAAAAAAAAAAAAGTCCAAAATAATGTTTGCTAAGTTTACTCAGCCCAACACCACTGGTCTTTGACCAAATGTCTCCTGATAATTATCATTCTTTTAATGAAAGCAGCATGACGCTTTTCATAGGGTGGTCCAGCACACAACGATGGCCGTTTTATGTCTCTTCTTTCCAGTTGAAGGTAAAACACTTGAATGTGCAGAGACCTATTTTCCTCATCTAAAAAAAAACAAAAAACTAATATAATGGCCAGTTCTTACCATTTGGATTTTTAATCAGTTGAACTGGAAACACTATTGGAAACATGCATTTGCGTCTATAATGCAGTGTGTAAATTGAAGACAACTATTGCATGGTAATATTGTCTAATAAATCAGTGTCACACAATCGCTGCCTACATAAGCTGAAATGATTCCTTGTTTTTTTCTTTAATGGTGATGCCAGAGACTGTAAAAAAATACTCGCTGATACTCACAAGTCTTAATAACTATCTTATAAATCCGTAGTTAAAAAAAAAAGACAGCGTGTTTTCATTCGGGATTCCGAATAAACAAGTAGGCCTACTTAAAGCTACAAATAAATAAATAAATAGAGCACTCTCCCTATCCGTCTTCTTTTATTAATCGGTTAGAGTGCAGCGCCCTCTGGTGGTACTAAGTAGAACCTTTAGAGAGCTCAACAACAACAATCAATAGCCCACTGTTGAAGTCAAATTCATCTTCTCCAGCCAGATGACGTCTACCTTGATCAAAATGGTGGCGTGCTTTATCAAAGAGAGAATATGAACTGAACTCTTGATAGTGATAGTTGGAAATGTGCCCTGAGCGCCAGTAGAGCACTGAATGGAAACTTAATTAAGTCTTTGTGATGGAGTTACAACAGAGATCAGAAAGGGACAGAGCTCAGCTGGGCGGACTGGAGGAGCAGAAAATGTGATCAACCCTCCCTAATCAACAATCACCATCCACCAGCTCCTGCAGGACTGTAAGCACACATATACTCATCATAAACAAAACAAGATAGTGAGGTTACAGGATGCATTTAAAGTGATTTGTTTCTTTCACTTATGCCATATAATGCACCATTTTAAAATACAAATCTTTTTTTATTAAAAAATAACTCCTGTGCTATAATTTGCACATCAGGGCCATACGTCGGTCTAGAACGATTTCTATCTTTCATCTCCTTTCAATTGCACCAACAGATATGTTAGACATGGTGAGAGATTAAGTCATGCCTACTAATCCTCACAAGCTGTGATCTATGCAGGAGCAGCTTTGGTTCTGTAGCTGCACAGCTCCTTCATTTGAGAATATGGGAACTCTTGGTACGATTTCTAAATCTCCTCGGTCATTAGGTTTCATATTAACATGGATGTATCACCCCTTCCTCAAAGGACGCTCAGCTAGGCTTGCTTATTTGCCAGAGCTGAAACTCTGCCTGCTTTTCTATTAGTAGAAACATTAGGCCTGTGTTGTTTGTAGCCACTGGACTCAAGTCTTTCAGGCAGTGTTAAGAGAGCAGCCGCCCACAATGAGAGGTCACAGACTGAGAACCCATTTCTTCCATTAGTAGAAGTAGCCTAAAATGTTTTAAGGAAACTTAATATGGCATACAAAAAAAACATGCTGATATAAGTGCATTGAATAGCTCTCTACAGTGGGCCATTTAGAGTTAAAACAAGCCTTTATTAGAACAATGTTTGTATAATGAATGTGCAGCTGAACAGAAAAACCAATAATAACATAAAAAATACTGCATAACTAGGTTGCCATATATATTTTTTTAATATATTATATTCAGCAGTTCATTTGACAAAAGCTGTATGTTCATGAGGTAAAGTTGTGGACGATGCAGAGTCAATAAATAGTTTGACTTGTAAAGTCCTAACTGAGCTTGCTAAACCTTAAGTGGAATAAAGGAAAGCTTCAGTGTTGCTTTGCAGGAGCAGGGACTGGCTACTTCCTGGAATTCGGAGAGTTTATGAGGGGTTTCCATGTGACGGATTCACACGGAAGATAGCACTTTTTTTTCCCCGTTTCATAATGTATTTTTAAGTGATGTGGTGTATATCAATGCGACGAAAAGTGATTAAAAAAAGATAGTTATTTAGTCGAAGGTAGGACTTTCGGGGGGGGGGGATAAATCTTTATGTTCCAGCAATTACACTGACCCAGAAAGAAGACATTGGCCTAGTTGGAAAATGGCTAACACTGGCAATGTTTCTGTTAATAACAACAATAATTTGATGCATGTTGGATGTAAGACTCTGCCTTTTGCTGCTCCAACAAAAACTGCAGTGAAAACAAAGGATTTTCATAAACTGTGGAGGTTTATCTGTTAGCTTAGCTTCGTGCACAGTATGGCGTCAATTATATTGGTCGCGACTTAAAAAAAACCGCTTTTTGTGTAATGTTGTCGTTCTCTTTTATTGTCACTACAGTGCGCAGAACTTCACACTTTATAGGTGTTTTTAATTTGGGTTTTAATTTGAGAGCGAGAATAGCGTTTGCTAACGTTAGCCAGCTACCTTATCCTTAGCTTTCACTCAAATATACCACACTGCATGTCGGACGATTGGTTGCACAAGAAGTACTTTAAAAAAAAAACTAAAAAAACTGCTCCACACCACTCCGTCCACTGGGTAACAGGATTATTTGAGCATGTGTGAAAGCGCATGACCCACCCTTACAACAGCGAGGGGTTCGGAGCTGTGCTCGTATCGGCAGCTTGACAATAAATGTCGTTTGTTTACGCTGTTCCCAAAGTCCCCCCCCCCCCCCTCCCCATCACACAGTGTATCACTCCGCGCAACACTGTGACGATTAAAACTAAAGCATTTTACAAGATAACGCTGCGTCCAAACGACGTGTCGGCGTGAGACTAAACACGAGAAATTAACGGGTTTAGAGAATTAGCTTTTTTTTTTTAAATTCATTTTCTTACGTGAACATTCAACGCGGACTAGTTTCCGTTAAAGGTTGTCTACATTTAGCGTAAAATACAGGAGGGGTTTCGTTGTATTCATACTTCAGCATTGGACTACGCTGTGACGTAATACAAATCTGCCACATTTTTCTACTTACAAAGTATGTGTTTTTTTCTTCTAATAATAATATATATTTTTCAGGATGCTTTTAAGTCAACTTTAATTTCGTAACTTTTCATCGTGACCCCTTCATGTGTAGTTGGTTCCGCCCATACAATGCCCCGGACTGCTTTCTTGGTTTGGATTGCGTACTTATGATTGACAACTCGACCGTCCAATTACAAAATACTCTAAGCTTAGCAACAGCAAAATTATCCTCTTATCCAATCAACAAAAAGAAGGGTGGGCTTTATGCCGCTCATGATTCTGCTATCTCATTGGTTAACATTCTCGTCGGTTATGGTGGCCTTGTGGAGTATGTAGTTCGTTAAGGAGACGCCCCTTCGTTCTTCGTCGAAGTTACAACCTCATGTCCCAGAATGCACCAGGACTGAAAAGCAGCAGCGTGCGCGCGACTGGAGGCGGAGCTGCTATATAAACACGAGCACCCTCTTCTACGGTAGCACACTGGACACTGTTGTGACGGCGAAACGTCGTCTCCGGGTTCGCGAAAAACTCTTCACAGCATCGAAACAGTTAATGGTAGTTAGCGACAGTTGCTCTGACAAACCCTTCAAGGAGTAACAAGTGTTTACTGTTCGGACATTTTACTTATAGCTTGCGGGAGTTTGTTTTTAAACGTCAAAAACTCAAAACTTTGTTGTAGTGATATCGGCTCATTTTGGAATTAGTATATATTTTTTTGTTGTTGAAAATTAAGTTTAACGTCTTTTGAGGAACTTTAAAAGCTCAGTCCAGAGGGCATGGCGATTATCTGAAATGCGCTAAAGCGGAACACCGGAATCGGATCATCAGGATGACAGAACCAGCGGAGCAGACCCATCACCTGAAAAGTTCGGGCAGCCCATCAGGTGGGAGCAGCGGAGGCGCGTTGGAGCATCTCCCAGCCCGGAGCCGCGGAGGTCCAGATAACGGCGACAGGGGGCGACAGAGATACCAAAAACAGCAACAGCGGGCGGGGAACTGTGGGGATATCAACACAGACAAGTTATGGCAAATGAAAGGCGGACAGAGGGGGGTGTGCCCTGCCTTAGCAGCCGGAAACGATGTCCCGAAGTGCCCGATTGCAGCTCAGACTCATCAGAAATCCGATGTTCGTGCAGCGGGGGAAGATCATCGCATCTCGCAGGGGAAAAACGGCCAGGACAGACCGCTTGAAGAGACTTTAAACCAAGTGCAGGGTGAGAGTTTGCTCATTGACTCCGACACTGGCTTTGATGCACGTCAGGGGAAGAGAAGGCACAGGCGCAGAACCTCAAAGAAGAAGCGCAACTGGAAGCCTTATTACAAACTTTCCTGGGAGGAGAGGAAAGCCTTGGAGGAGAAGGAGACGGCCAGGGCTTCCAGACTGAGGGAGGAGATGTTCGCAAAGGGACTCCCAGTGGCCCCGTATAACACCACCCAGTTCCTGATGGACGAGCACGACCGAGAGGAGCCCGACCTCAACACGGAGACTGGGGTCAGGAGACCTTCAGGGGTCGGCGTCCGCATGGAGGACACTGGCAGCGAGGAGGACTTGTTCGACAACGAGGAGGAGGACGAGGATGACGGCAGCGGAGGTGGTAGCGACGGTATCGGGAGAGCCGGGAACGCAGGTGGGGAGTTTCTTCAGAGGGACTTTTCCGAGACCTACGAGATGTACCACGTCGAGAGCCTGCAGAATATGACCAAGCAGGAGCTGGTGCAAGAGTACCTCGAGCTGGAGAAGTGCATGTCCCGGCTGGAGGAGGAGAACAACCGGCTGAGGAACGCCGTGGAGCCAGGAGGACCGACCGTGGAAAGCTCCCTGGTCCGGCTCAGAGAGCTGGAGAGGGAACTGGAGAGACTGAGGGCCCAAAACACGGAGCTCCTCCTGCAGAACCAGGACAGGGACCCGGTTCCTACCAATTAAAGGACCCAAATTTGAAAAAGGTAACACATGGGACTTGCTGCATTGTTAAAAAAAAAAAAAAAAAATTGTCATCAGTGTTCTGTAAACAGTCTTTCATCTGGACGGATGAGTCCTTGCATTGCAATGCAATACTTGACGTTTCTTTTCTATTTGGACTAAAATGATGTCCTGTTAATTTTTTTAAGAAGAAAAATGTTAATATTTCAAATAAGATTCGTTTTTATAAAGAGAATGTATTTGATAAGGCGAGTTGTTTTGTTTTCCCGGGTCAACTTATCATTTTACATTTGTTCCGTTTTTGAATTCAAGGCAAACACATGTATCATTTCCAACATTAATTATTTGAATGCTGCTGATCGGGCAAGCTGTGCAAAGATTGTTTTTGCAGAAAAAAAGAAAAAAAAATCAATCCCGTGTGAACATTTTAACAGTTGTGTGTTAACATAAGTTCAAATAAATAATAATTAAAAAAAAAAAAAATCTAATTCTGAAGTCATGTTGTAAAGCGTGATCTGAATCACAAGAAACTCCCATCTTCATACTGGAACCTACTGTACACAACTCCCTTTTTTTTCCAGCGCTAAATATCCAGTAAGGTATTCATGTGAGGATCCAGAAATGGGCCGGACAGAGGACAACAGTGGGCTCTGAACAGGAAAAACATTTAACCAGAGCAGGAGCAGAAGGAGGGGGATGGGATATGATGGAGATGCTCTTTATGAAGGTTAAGCCACTCTGCCTAATATCCAGTTAAGTGTTTTAGCAATGCAGAATGCAAAAGGGAATATTTCCCTCTATGGAAGATCATTCTGTTTACAAGAAAGGTGCTGCTAATGACTATAGCAATCTGCTCCATAGTGTTTACCAAAAGCTCTACAAACATACTCTCAGCTCATTTTAATTGAAGGCATAGATAATGAACTATCACTTTCAAAACAAGAGTGCAGACTCGGTAGTTTTGACAAAGTTTCCCTGATGTGCAGAAGAAATCTGTGCCAGAAGGCCTGAAGACACCTTATCCATGTGCAGCCTACAGATGGCGCCATTCAGCTTGTATCTGGAGCTGTCTGACCATCCCATAGACTAAACATGAAGGTCCATCCTCCATGTACTGTGCATATCTAAAAACCATCACAAACACACGAGCACATTTTTAAACATAGTTCTGTTTATTTACATTTTATAAACTTGCTTTAAAGCACACAGCCATGAGGGAAATCGTTTCAGGTGGACAATCTTTCAAGTCCAGTCATTTCATATTAGTTATACTCAAAAAGCAACTCCAAATGTACACAATACAGTATGTTACATATTAAGAAAGTATGTACAAAACTGTGTCTTTAAAATCTAACAATGAGACATTAGGTGGATCACATTTCAGACGTTTTGAGTTTTCCTCTTGAAGTCCGTTTTAAGAAAATATAGTCTGACGTGAGCTGATGCAGTGTTAGGGAAGGGCTTGTCAGATGTACCATATTCACACACTGTGGATCACCAGGCAGACAGAGACGGCCTCTTAAGAGAAAAACTACGCTTCTGTTAATGCCTGGGTTAGAGGCAAAGCGAGTGCATAGATGTGTCCTTGGCTTAAAGTGTGCTCTCTTTAAAAGACAAAATCCGTACAGCCTCTTAAGTTAGAACTTTTGTATTTTAATGTACACTTCTTTGGGTCAGTGCCTTACTTTTGACCACAGGGGAGGAGGGGGGAGGAGACCCAGAGACAACAAAAAGGGAACGGAAAGATAAGAACTGACATGAGCATGGCACTGCAGAACAAAAACACATTCCAGAAATCAGGCACTTGTAGAACAAATCTTGAGGTATGCTAAGACCATCATCTATCATAATTATTATTCATTTGTTTTGCACTGGTTGGTTTTTTCCAATGTGAGCCTCTCATGACTTTACACTCCTGATAACAAAAGGTTCTAACAGCCAGTATGAGAGACGAGAAACAATAGATGAGAAGTTAGCATTCTGCTGTCATTTCCTCTTACAAAATGTACCATTTCCTCAGTCAGAGAGGATTTATTAGAGCCTGACCTTATGGAAATCTCCTCGTCACATGAACCCCGAGGTAATAAAACGTGCAGACAGATGAACTCCCAGAGGTGATGTGGTGAAAACACACAGGTTACAACAGACGCAGGTGAAGATGAAGCCTTTTGTATGCACTACTCAATCATTAAATAGTCTTCAGAACACTGCTAAGCTTTTTTTTTTCCTCATTCTGTTTAACCAAAAACAAAAAAAACACACACTTTGTCTTCAGCTCAGATCTGTGGAAGCGACACTCAATAATCCATGACATGAGTTACAAAACAAACAAGGTCAGCCATCACAGTGTGGCGCTGAGCTGCCCAATTATTTCATGTAAAAATGACCAGATTACATTTCTTCTCCTGCTACATGGAGTTTGAGATGTCGGTGTAACATCGGTGGGAGTTTCTGAGGAGATAAAGGTTTCCTGCACAGTGCTGAGAATCAGAGAGAAAGGCCGTCACTGAGGAAATTAGGAACAGGTAACGCCTCGCTTAGGTCGTCTCCTTTCGAACAGGTACATCAAAGAGGGGAAGTCACAATAAAAGTACTTTTTTTTTACTTTAATACAAAATATATATATAATATATATACTGAATATAAAACAAAACAACACAAAATAATATATTAAGTAAAAACATTTCAAGTAACATCTTGAAACAAATGACTGTGCACTTGTATGCGCTTTTTGTAAACCATAGAAAACTAAAAAAAAAAAAAAGAAAAAAAACATAAAAACAAATATGATAACATAATATTTATATATACAAGGTTAACTTAACAAGGCTTTGTACAAATGTTACAAAAGTGTTCATAACAAACACCTGCACGCTCAGACGTGGTCACAAATATTTTAGAGCAAACACACATTAACATTATTAACACGTAGAAAGAGATGACTTACTTGTGTGTGTGTATGTGTGTGTGTGTGTGTGTGTGTGTGTGTGTGTGTGTGTGTTTGGAGAGTAAATGAGAGTTAAACAGGGTCTGTGTTCTGAAGAGGAACAGATTAGGAAGACTGATGTGAAAAATCAGATGAAATCCCTCTTGAAATGGTTTTAAACCGGCTAATTGTTAAAAATTGTATTTGTCAAACCCCATTTTAGTTAGAAGCACCTTTCTCTTAAGAACCAGAGGGAGTTCCTTTCCTGGTCATTTCAAGAGAATTTACCGTTTAATTGATACTTTTCTAGAATGATAATTCTTGGCTTTAGAATTTCGAGTATGAGGTCTGCATGTGTCTCTTTTCTGTTTCTGTATTATTTCTATAAAAGCACACATATAAGAAAAAAACAAACAAAAGCTTTGGCAACACTGGAATGCCCCCTGCCATTTCGGGAGGAGCTTATCGGGAAAGAAAGGGTGCAGAAGCTGCTCTCTTCATTGGTACTCTTATGTTGCTCCGGGCAACAAACCCCCGATAATGCTGCTGCCGGTCCACTGACCTGCAGGAGTCAGCAGCCCAGATTCCTCGGAGTGAGGGGTGGGATGGCAGGGCTCACAGGTACTGGTGGAAATTGGAGGTGGGTGTTTGACGTGTAGCCGGCCCATGCTCGAGCTCGTCTGCACCCAGAGGCAGTCCCGGTGTTTTGACCTGGTTTTGAACGGCGATGGGGGACAGGGGGAAGTCGCTGACAGTCAACGGGGGTCTTTTGTCAGAGATCTCGGTCGGGGAAGCCACTACGGTGTGTCTGCGCCATGCTCGCCTCTTCCTCCGCGTCTCGGGTGAGAGAGGTTTTCGCAGTCCCACGCTGCGGAGGTCGTCCGCCGAGCCCAGGAGACGAGCGCGGACATGATCCGCCAGAGACCTGCCAACCGGGCCTGCTGGGGTGAAGGAGGCGGCCTCGCTGGGTGGCAGGGAATGCTTGGGTCGAGTCGGGCGCAGGCTCTCCTGGCTGCTACCTGAGGAGGGGTTGGTTCTGGAAGTTTCCCTCCCCAACCTTGACGCACCGTCAGAGCTCGAACCAGATCGGTCGACCTGGGCGGCGGCCCCAGGCAGATCCAGCAGGTCCAGGGAGCGAGCTTTAGTCTTCTCCGACTTCAGCTTCTTCCTTGCCAGAGTGTCGCACTGGATCAGTTTGTGCGAGTTAAAGGAAGGCCGCAAGTGCAGTTTATGGGAGGCTGAGGAGGAGGAGAAGGAAGACGACGAAGGCGTGGTGGACCGTGCGCCTCCTTCGCCCCTCTCCGCAGAGTCTGGTGTGTGCGTGAGGGCTGTGGGCGGGGCCAGAAGGTTAGTCGGCGAGAGGACAGGATGCTTGCAGTGTGTGTACAGGAAGCTCCGCGGGGCTGCCGGTGGCTGCGAACTCACAGGTGTCGTCGGGTGTTTCTCCGGTCTCTCCTGCGTGAGGGAGCGCGAGGCGAAGCCGCTCTCGTTGTCCGTCTCACTCACCAGCTCGCTGTTTTCGTCATCTGCATCGTCACCCCTCCCCTCTGACCCCAGGCTCCGCCCTAATGTGGAGAGGGTGGAGTAACCAGAAACAATGGAGCGGGCGTCCTCTGGAGATCTCCAAGGTGGCCCTTTCACCTCCACCCGAGCCTCCTCCTCCTCCTCCTCCTCCTCCTCCTGCACCAACATGGCCGCCTGCCTTCCTCCTGCCTCCTCTTCATCTTTGCAGTGCGACCGGCTGGGAATAACCACCGCCACCTCCTTTTCTTCTACCTCCTCTTTCACTCCGCTTTCTACTACTTCCTCATCTTCCTCCTCTTCTTCTTCTTCTTCTTCTTCTTCTTCTTCATCCTCGTCTTCCTCTCCCTCTGCCCGAGGAGCAGTGCCCCCTACAGGCGACTCCACCTCCTCTTCCTCCTCCGCCCCTAGGTGTCCCGCTTTGATTGGCTCATGCTCCGAGTCGTCATCCGTGCTGCTGCCCACGCGGCGTGCATTGTGGCGCTTCCTGCGTTTGCGACCCGTGACGGCTGACATGATGGACAGAGCCAGGAAGTCCTTGGCTCCGAGGTCCTTCTTTGACCCCCATGACCCCTGAGAAGGGGAGAAACAACGTTACTGTGACGTCATCGTGCATAACACCTTGTATGTGAGCACTGCTGATTGTACAAGAGAACAACCTTGCGCTATGTTTGGAGGTGTTACCTTTGATTTAGCCGAGTCACTGTTGGTTGAGTCTGCAGGAGAGAGAAGCAAAACATCAGCCGGGTCACCATCACTTAAGCTTACAAAGACACCAGAGCAGTCACAGTGAAGGACACAGAGGGAGTAATCTTTTTTTTTAAAGGACAAATCCAAAATGTTATCACAGAAAAACTGATTCTACAGAGCCATAAAATAATACATAGAAAGGGGATAATAGTGAATAAAACACCTGCTCTGACACCAGCATTTGAGACGTGGCTAAAGCCAACCTGCTTGAAAACTTTTATGCATTAGGCAGCATTAAAGTCAGTTTGTGTCCTCTTTTTTTTTGTTGTTGATTACGACAACTTCCTTGACTGAAATTTAAGGAACTTGTCTTCCTCTGAGCCCTCTGGCATTGACATACCCCAGTACAAATATTTACACATAAATGTAGTCAATGGAGGAGGAACAATGATTGGGAAAGCAGGGGATTGGTGAAAGAGGGGAAAAAAAACAGCTTTATGAAACCACAGCACACACCAATAACGTCACCGAACACACTAATATCAGTCAGTGAATGAAGCGTTTTGAAGCATGAAGGCAGAAATAGTTCTGAATCGAAAGAGTATGAAACAAGAACAAAAACATTCCCTCACGAACACAAACACACAAAAGCGGTAGGAAATCTGTTTTTGTCTTTCACAGAGTGCATTGACGTGAATTTGTGGGGGGGGGGACCTGAGGTGGTGGCCTCTTCACAGGTTCCAGATTGAATTATTTCTCATCTAATAACAATGATCTTGAGTCCTGATTGGATGGATCTGTGACTGTGTTGGATGCACCTTTTGTTTTATTATATCAGGTATTACACAAGTGACTGCTGTTGTAATGCTGCCACCTATAAAGCAGAAGAAGCCTTTCTGAGTCAAGTCTCTGAGTAAACCCCGGATCAGAATTAGGTAAATTATAGGGTCATATAAAAAAAAGAAATATACCAAATCATATCAGTTGATTCTACTGAAAGGCTGGCCCTTATACACGTTCATTTTATTTGTAATATTTGATCAACTACTAATAGTTTAGTCATTTGAAGAGCACTTTGTCTGCTCTTAGCTTTTCAAGTTTAGATTATACATTTCTCCACTTTCCATCACTGCTTATTACATTCTTAATTGCTAAATTACAAACACAAAACATTTGAAGAGAAAGCCTGGGATCAGGATCTTTTTCATGTTTTCAGACAACAGATAAAAAAAAAAATACTCTAAATGTAAGTTGTTGGTTGCAGCAACAACGTAGCACAGTGGCCCTCTGTGCTGTGACAGTGATCAACATCTGTGACTTCTGTTTCGAGCATAAACAGAACAGTGCCACCTAGCGGCTCTTTTGCAGCTCAGTTGTGTGTGTGTGTGTGTGTGTGGTAAGAACGTCACGGTATGACTACACTGTCGGAAGCCGCCGACTGTATCAGGATGTGAGGGAGTTGTCTCTCAGTGACGGAGCTCGGTTTACACTCCAGTGTCACAGACAGAAGCTTTAACAAGCATCCAGTCATCCATGAATTTATTAGATCGGAGCGGGGCGACGCTGAAGTGACTTGTTCTTACAGAAACTCTGACTGTGACGCTGATTATCAGGAGGGGAATTGAGACTATGAAGACACAAACCACCATCACCAACACTATCAGTCTTTCTCTGTCATCCTCCCCACACACACACATTATTAAACTTTCACAACATGATGCACTGAATCGGTTACACACACACACACACACACACACACACACACACACACGTATTGCCAGGGGAGTTCCCATCCTACCGCAGCGGCTGCTCCACAGGCTCAGCTAAGAGAAGGAAATGCAGAGAAACGTACAGAGAAAGTGAAAGATGAGCAAAGGTAGAGGAGAAAAAAGGTCAGCAGAGAGGAGAGAAGTAAAGGCACATTGAAAAACACTGAAACACTCCCGAGTGCTAACCCATGTACAACTTCATTTGTTATGCTGCCTTCAAGTTCTGGTGGCTTTAAACTTTGACATACGAAACACTGAGCAGTCGGCAGGTAAGAGAAAAGTACAATTCTCTCTTTTTTTATTACATTATATTTTGATTATGGATTCTATATTTTGTATTCGAGCAACATTCGTTTTAAATTGTAAAATAAAGTTTCTGTTTCTCCGCCCTCAGTTCACTGGAACAAACTCATCGTCATTAGGAACTACCAGGGAAATCCCAGGTTCCAGTTTCAAACAGAAAGCAGCATTCTCTTAGAGTTGCAGATTACAGCTGCCGGTATGCTATTGGTCGGTTTGGTTAAAGCCAACATTGATTGGCTGATAGCGGCATGCTCACCTGAGGCCTCCCCTAGCAGAGCAGTTCTGCCGATGTTGGAAAGCAGGTGGTCGATGTTGGGGGCCGGCTGCAGGTCCTCCGTGTCCACTGGCGTCTGGATGAAAGAGACACAAATCATTCAAATACACAATAAAACAATCTGAGAGACTTTCATTTTAGATAAGCTTCAAATAAACTTGAATGTTTTGAAGATTTTATCATCTGGAAATGAGCCGGTATGAAACTAGAGTTCCAAAACTTTGACAGTTTGCCATGAAATCATATCTGAAGAGAGATCTCCACAAATAAGGCTCATGAATAGACATTCCTGCTTTATCCCTGCTCTTCATCACAAACACAGAAGTTTGAGATCACATTTTGTGTTGCAAAGTTTAACAGGGACTCTTGGGTTTTATTCCCAGAGAGCAAATGTTGGATAAATCTTTTTCTCTAAGTGTAAACAGCTGACTCATTTCAGATTCCACCCTGAGCACTTACAGTCTTTCTGTTACAACGTGGGGGAAATAATCTAAATGGAAGATTTCAAAGAGTTTTTTTTCTTGTTTGAGAGAAAATAAAACAAGTTTTCTGCACAAGAATGTATAATATGACACTTTTATTGTTGTTCTATTCAAATAAATAATTACTACCACACCTGAGCGCAGCAGCTTCACGTTTTTGTGGTTTGTAAAAAACAAAAAAAGAGATTTGTGGACAGGAGAAACAATTCCCCTCAGGTATACCGTTTGGTCATGACACTAACTATAACTATACTATATCTGACTGTTTTTAAGTTTTTCTAAACCTTTCTAATGAGGAACATAGTTGTTAGTTAAAACTTTTCTAGAGACTGTAAAATGACACTTTGCTGCTTTCAGTGTAGCTTCACATTTTTTGGGTATGAAATCATATAAATCTTGACACATAATAAATGTTTTTTTTGTTTCAGAAATAGTTCAGTGTAACGCTGTAATCATTGAATACTACACATGGCAGTTTTCAGAGCAACTTTAAATCCTCAGCACCCTTTTAAAACCTGTTTCTGTTATATATTATTATTTTCAATGTTTAAGTCTAAATAAATCTTGTATTGTCCACATGCTTTAAGATGACAATATTGGGAGCTTACCTTTTCTTCCTTGTCTACCTCTTCCGCGAAAAACCAGGTCCCCTACGAGAACGACAGAGATGAAATGATTTAGCACATTAAGGATCATTTATAATATGTGTGTGTGTGTGTGTGTGTGTGTGTGTGTGTGTGTGTGTGATCCCTCACATGCTGTATGAGTGTCTCTACTATCTTGTAGCGGTCGGGCATGTGTGTGACCATATCTTTCATGTTGTCCTCAGACGTCCGCACCAGAGTCGGCCCAAACACCAACGCCAGGTTACGAGGCTCCATCTGCACACACACACACACAGCAGGCAGAGACAGAGGCTTATTAATAACACACACTCATACTTGATACAATTTCATTATTATTCCTAACTTTTAGACCTTCACAGACCTTGTTTTTATCGGAGCTGTCGGCCACAGTCTTCAGGTGATAAACAAGGAACTTCAAAGTGTGATAGTAATAATCCGGGAGGTCTCTGATCTATAAAGGAACGAGAGGAATGACAACAGAAATAAACCTGTTTGACCTGCCTGAGTTCTACACACACACACACACACACACACACACACACACACACACACACACACACACACACACACACACACACACACACACACACACACACACACACACACACACACACACACACACACACACACACACACACACACACACACACACACAAACTCACTCACCTATTTATCTCAAATTAATTCTTGACTTTAAACAAACACTAACCAGTTTCTTCATGGTCTTCAGGCGATCTGATGCGTTCTCCATGCGGTTGGCATCAATGAAGTCATTGTATTTGTCTGCAACAAAATCAAATATTTTAAATAATGCGAATTAAGAAGGTTTGGTATGTATGTGTGTGTGATGGCTTGTCAAGACATGTTTGAACTCACCATTTGTGAAGAGAGGCTCTGGAAGTTTTCTGAAGAAGGATTTGAGTAAACTGCTGACAACATTCAGGTCCTGCCACTTCTGATGACAGAAAATCAAAGAGAGGAGTCAGAAAAATAAATAATTGACCTTTCACTTTTAGTGATTGAAGGAAGTTAAAGAAGTTAACTATATTCCAAGAAGAAGTTAGAGCATAAAAGAGAATAAAACCAGGTACCTATGTCCCGGTCAGAGAGAAAAATAAACATAGCATAATATAGTATTACAGTTTTGTACTGTCAAATTGAAGGAAACCTGTCAGTTAATTAGTTTGTATTCCACATTTATATTTCCCGACCTCCTCTGCGGGGTTGATGTCCACGCCCTTGTTGAGCTGATCCTGCAGCATGGACACCATGGCGTTGTTCCCGGGGACTCTGTAGATCCCTGTGTACTCCAGACCCATGTCCTCCACTAGACCACAGCAGATCTCCACGATCAGCGGGATGAACTGAGAGAGACAGACAGACAGACAGAATGTAAGCACAACTACACCTCCAAAGATTAATCTGTTTCACCACATTCAAGAGGATATCGTACCTTATTAATGACACCTGGCTGACACTCCTCCAGCCTCACACCGAAAGCTTTAGGTCCCGTCTTCTTCGTCTTCTTCATGATGTTGATTCCCCACGGAGACTTTGGAGGGCCGCTCTCGTCTGGAGACACGGTGAACAAAAACTTTAAAGCTTGACACAAAACCTTAAAAAAATACTGTTCAACATTCTTAAATCTGTTTTATATAAAGATGAACTGAATTCATAATAACAGCAGGGAGTGAAGAACAAAGTACCACAAATCCTTTGTCCTTTTTAGGGAACTGTCAGTCAACTAAAGAATATTACACAATACATTTTTTATTCAATGTTCTAATAATTTCACTGGTCTTAGATTTTCAGATAAATTTAACAAAAGAAGAAAAAAAAACAATAATTTGAAAAAGCATTATTAAACTAAAAATCAATGTTTACACACCAGACGCTGAAAATCATATTTCACACGCCTAAGCATTATAAGTAAGGACTCAGGAGTAATAATACAGTTTAACAAATAGTATCAAATGAGCTGCTTAGTTTAAACAGTTTAACTCATCTTACAGGGACATGATGCAAACGTTTGGGTGACAGTCAATCTCAAAACGTTCTGGTTCTTATTTTTAATTGTTAACACAAAGTCCGTTTTGGAGGTCTGAAGTTTAAGTCATTCACTATTGGTGTTGTTTCCATGACTCTGACCTTTGCCCTCTGGTTTTGGGGAGCGCGGCGCCCCGGCTGCGTTTTCAGTCTTGGTGTGCAGGAAGGGAGGTTTCATGCGAGGCATTCTGGGCGAGGAGTCAGGTTTACTGCCTGTCGGACTGCAGGGGGAGACAGAGAGGCCAGTTGAATTTAGTTTGCAGAGACAAAAGAAGCTTCTTCATCCTCGCTTAATGATCAGGAGACTCACCTCTGCTTTCTGTAATCGTTCAGTTTTTTATTGATGAGGGCCTGCCTGGAAAAGCCGAGCTCCTGCAAGAAACAAACAAAAAAAAACCCTGGTGATGACCTGTTTCTAATAACACCTACACAAGATAAAAGTCACAGATCAAAGATCCAAGTGTGACCTCTGACCTCACTGTCCGTCTTGCTGTTCTCCCTGATGACCTTAATCCAGTCCAGCATGTCCTCCCGGTCCTCTGCCTGCAGCAGGTACTCACAGAAGTCCTGTGTGGTCAGCCGCAGGGCATGTTTTCGTTTGGTTTCACTGTATGCAATGTCCACCAGGCAGCCCCGTATGCTGATCGGCTGATCGTCATCTGCCGCGCCTCCAATCGTGGCCCCGCGGAGCACCGCCTCCCTCTTGTCTTTGTAGAGGAACAGCGAATGAGAGCGAAGAACAGAAAAGACTCGCTTCCACGGACGCATGCCGCTGCCCACCTTCTGTGGAGGACAGATATAATGCGATGAGAGTTTGTTGTATATGAATTTCTGCTTTCATTCTACTTCTCATAAAATCAGAAGTGCCCACCTTGCCCTTCTCTGTGAGGATCTGTTTGTAGTGCAGCCATCCTTCTCGCCGCACGTCACTGTACGTGATGTTTCCCAGCTCTGACGTTGAATGGCGTTTTGATCGGACCTCCTCTGCCGTCCCGAGGTTGTCTAGAGACTGAAACACAAACACGTAAATGTTAAGAGGATTGGTTGATAGGTAAGCCTGTTTAAAGCTATTAGATAAGAATTATTCACATTAAATGGAAATTTAAGGCATATGAGAAAAATAATCATGTAATAAATAGCACAACATTTTTGTAACCATCATCTTTTTTCGCTGCAGCATGTGGATTTCCTGGGTTTTATTATGAACTAGAGAGACCTGACATATTCCCACTGATGCCCCGGCAGTTTGAAGCAGAAACACATCAAAGTGTTTGTTAAAGAAGAAGCCAAAGCTAGACTGTGGAATTACATTTCTATATGGAACAAGTTTAGAACTAACAACAAAAAGAACACAAGCAGCTGGAGAAGGCAGTATTTTTAAACATAGACATAACCCATACAGTACAGTATGTAAGTTAACAAATAAAAGGTTTAAAATAATAAAGATATCACTACCGCACTCCCAATTTAATCATCTCACTTCAGTCCAGTGAATTAAGTCAGAGAGAGAGATGAATCCAGACAAACACGTTGCTGTAATGTTCATTAACACTTTTCTAAACACCATGCTGAGGGAGAGTTATACACAGAGTGAAGAGACACAGTGATGTTATACTCTTGTTATACTTCTGTCCCTTTACTTCTTCAGAACTGACTGGTATTTAAACTTCATTGTCACAAGACACTTAAGAATGTGAGGATTAATCCTCTACATTATTTAACGACATGATGTCCAAATCAAGTGAATTGTCTGTAAAGCAATGTAATGTTTATTAAATGTGACTGTTTTGTTGTAGGACAAGTATTTAGGGTTTCTTTGCTTGTTTGATTTTAAAGGCCAGGATGATAAAAACAAGGATCAGACGATGAAACAAACAGTATGTAGGATCATGTGTGTTATTCAAAGACGAAAGACTCACCCCGTCTGTGAAGAAACTCTTCACTCTCTTTGGTAGCCTCCTGTCAAGTACAACATGATTATTAAGAGTCAGAATGTCTGCTCACACATGTCATTTAATGGGTGCTTATAATGGATTTTATTCACAGTTTGACTTACGAGAAGACTCGTCCTTCCTCTCTGAACGTGTTGAGTCCTTCGTCGCATGACTTGGAGCGCTCGGTGGTGATGGCTAGAAGATAGGAGGAACGGCGACTGGATTTAATACTGCCTGCTCGGTGAGAGGATGAATGAGTGGAGATAGAGAGAGAGAGAGAGAGAGAGAGAGAGAGAGAGAGAGAGAGAGAGAGGAAGGAGTAGAAACAAAGACAAGGGACAGAGAGAAAGACAGAATGTGATGTAATGCCAATCACCAGTGTGGATGGTGTTGGATTAGCATAGGGGAGCAGTGAGGTGGGGAGCAGTGAGGTGGTCGGAGGTGAGGGTGGATGGACTGTGGGGATGTGAGCTGGGTCGGTGGGTTAGATTAAACACTTCACTTTCCTCACCACTGTGCATGCAGGAGGAGCTTCTGTAAACACTGACTGACATCATGCAGATCAACTTTCTGTGTCAAGAAAAATATCATGCAAGGCTGATTTTGTTCAATTTAACATTTACATGTAAGAATGTCTAAGTACCAAACTTCAAACCTATAAATCCCAATTACAGCACTGCTTAATATCATCTTTCAAGGATTTTTGTTCATTTTTGAAGTTAAGTTTGAAGAATAATTTTGCCCATTTGCAGTACAGATCATCCAAGGGAGAAAAACTAGAAGAGGTCAGTATCATAAAAGAAAAAAGCCTGACGACAACCTTTTAAAATTACACTTAATTCTCCAAAATATCTTCAAGAATTTCATTAGGAATAAAATAGAATTGTTTAACTTCTTAGTTAATTTGAGAAATTAAAAATCAGCACAAATACTTGATAAGATCGACATTATAGCAGTGAGGAACAACACCCAACCACAACAGTTTTCACTTTTCACGCATGCTTCTTTAACACCTCTCTGGAAATAAAAACATGACACGTAAACATCATCAGTGAGATCCTTTTCAGCTGCATGCAGTGTGGAGTGAGGGAGGGAAGGAGGAGAGGAGGGGGGGGGCACTCACTGCAGTCGTGTGAGAAGAGCCTAGTGGGGGGGAAGGAGAAAGTGGGGGAGGCGGGGCTGGTGACCACGGCGGGTGCCGAGCTCATGCCGCTGGACACCACGGAGGACGCCGGCACATGGCGTGCACGCAAATCAGCGCCGGGGCTGGTCGGTTCATCTGTGGGAGGGAGGAGGGAAGGGGGGAGGCAAGAGGGAAAGCAAGAAGGGATAGTTAGGTGTTAAGAGAGAAAAAAAAAAAGGTCAGATGAAAAAGAAGGAATATAAAAGGGGTTAGACGAGGAGGAGGCGAGGAAGAGGAGAGGTTTTTAAAGGAAGAGGAACCGCAGGGTTACCGTCAAAAATACAAAACAGTTCTCAACAATGTTCTCAATGTTATCAAAATTCATTCTTTCTGCAACAGTAGCACAGATTAACACCATTACTCCATCGAGAAGTTTCCTCTAGACTCAAGCGAAGAGTACACAGAAGACAGACCAGAAAGACAAACATCCACACTCACTCACAAATCCACAAACAGAAGCTGAAGACTCCGGAAGTATAAAGTGACAAGAATGTTCACAGAAACAAAATGAAAAAAGGCAAGTAGTTTATAAATTGCAGTACCTGTGCCTACTGCTGCCATAAGACGAGCTAGTCAGTTGTTTAAAGAGTGTGTTTGTTACACAGATTTACTGACTCCAGGTTTCAGTTCTTTATGAAATCTACAGCAGTGTACAGTGTCAAATGTCAAATCATAGAAAAGAAGAAAAACTAAGACTTATAATAAGATTAACTAAAGGTAGATATGAAATATGTTTTTGTGCCAATAATGACTTGAAAAGTGAAAAAGAAAGACGACACATCGGACTTTTATAGATCGTACAGGCTAAAAGTCTTCAATAGTTTCATCCGATGCAATGGGATATGAAACCGTAATACACACACACGACTACACATGTTGTGATGCACACTTCCTGACTGACAGAGGATTAGAGAGCAGCCTGATATTTGCATAAAGTGAGGAGAAGCTGGATGTGCCAGTGACAGTTTAACCTCAGGACTGAGTTGCTGCTTAGTTTCGGTGTGTTCTCTGAGGGGACAGCAGGGGGCAGCACAGACTCACACACAGACAATCACATAGTCTTTCTGCAAATTCTTGTAAGGGTTTCTCATTAGAATGACATTTTTGCTCTGATTCATTTTAAGTTTTCCTCATCCTTTACAGCCCTATTGACTTTCACCATCTTCTCTTTTATGTTTGTCACTCCTTCTCTATGGATTTCTTCCTTCCATCACACTTTTTGCTCTGTCCCTCACTCCTCTGCATACTCCAGCCCCGACATAAGGCTGGAAACATTTCCAATCTGGGCTGAGGAATCTGCCTGTTTACAGCACTGCCCAGAAATAGCCGGGCTGTGGGTTTAACAAAGGCCGTCATTAACAGGCAATCAGAGAGTGAGCTCAGAGCCATGAGACAGAGACCGACCAGCAGAGGGGAGCAACATACTACAGCACGCTCCGAACCAACTCCAGATTCTGCAGAAAATACGGAGCTCAAGTACACAAAGAGAGGGGTGGAGAACGAACCGACAGATAGAGCAGAAGTGAAAAAGTTTGAGGTGACACAGGAGCTTAAAGAGTCTTAAATAAGCTTAAATAAAACAAAACACCTTTGCAAACTTCAATTAGTTAACTGAGAAAAACAAACAAAAGGTAGGGTACTGACAGTAAAAGTAAAAGACTATTTGTCATATAATTATTTACTCTGTTCATTGATTCATCATCAGTCAAAAAAATGTCAAAATTCAGTTTTTTGAAAGCCCAGGGTGAAAACTTCTAGATGCATTTTTGGGCTGATTCGCGTCGGTTTTTCCGATTATAATAAATTCAGCCAAAAAATGACAATCGGCCACATCGGGGGTAAATATTTACATTTTTTTTCAGGAAAGATGTCTGATGTGAGTCATGGGTTGATTATCAAAGTAGACATCTGTTGCATAATGTAAGTTGATTGACTGATTAACGTATTGTTGCAGCTTTATATCAGACCGATTAAGTTCATTTAACAACTATAAAGTCTGCTACGATGACATTTTGGTCTTCACCAAGAAACTAAGAATCTCTAAAAAGCGGACAAAGAAGAAATAGGGTGCTCGAGAGTCAGACAAAAAAACAGGGGGCTGTATCTTGTGAAAAGAGTCAGAGGGGACGAGATGTCTGCCGGAAGCAGAAGCCAAGAACAGAAGGTCTTGGTACTGTTCTGTGCTTTCCAGGGTCCAGCCAGTAAAGATAGACATAGACTGAACCCCCACACAGACACACAAACCCCTTCATCATCTAGAGAGGCACAATAACAGCATTGATGTTGGGCCGGAGAGGAGTGTATGGGCCCCTACTGTTCCCACAAGCACCGCCACAAAAACCTCCTGGTAATTTACAGCTTAGATCCAAGTCGTAAGAGTCCAAGTGTGCGCAGAGTAAAACACTGCATCGGTTGACATGTCTCTTCCTGTTTTAGACACGTGTGTGATTCAAAAAAAATACTTGAACAGAAAATTGGAAAACTGTTAAATCTGTATACACACCTTTGATCTAGAAATATGTGCAGACATGGTGCTGTGCAGACACGAAGGAATTACAACAGCTGTATGTTCCCAAACAAGCCCCAGATCATATCACCATCTCTCAGATAAAGAAAGAGAACGACAAAAAAAAAAGAGGAGAGAAGCTGGTTCATGTCTATAGGGAGAAACTACAACTAGCCTAGTTTCAGTTCATGCCCATTAAACGTGTCCCGGCCTGCAGCTCTGATTCCTGCTTTCTGAAGGTACGAGGAAGGAATGTGCTGTGACACACACACACACACACACACACACACACTGAGAGCGGGAGAGTAGATGCCTACATGGTTTGCTGATCCACTGATTTTCTGCCTTCAAATGACTTTCTCTGGCCGAGCGTGGCTTGGCTCAAATATCCACAGTCATTCCATGTTGGGGTCGGAGCTTCTAAGTCAGCTGATTTGAATCTATTTGACGTTAGGGTAAGCAGTGGCTGTCTTCTCTTGGGCAGGCTCGCCTGACAGACTGACTTAGTTTGCGTATGGTTTGACTTAATGGCAGCTGTGTGTCAGGCGATACAAACCAAATATGAAGCCTTCAGAGCCCCTTCTCTTTGAGGCTTTTCAGAACAGGAACAAGCTGGGACAAGACTCCAGTCACCTCCCACTGACAGCAACATATGTAACTGTACAGTACAGTATATAAACAACATCCCATAGGCACAGAACTGCATCTCCTTTACGCAGCATCACAGCATCTATTACAGATTATTATCATTAAACTATACTAAACGTATTCAAATTCTGTCAAGTGGACTCTAATATGCAATAGGTTTTCTTAAACACTGAGTGTCATGTCATTTGCTGTACTTTATGGGAATGCTGTGGATCAGGACGAAGAGTGGTTAATCCACCTGTCTGCAGATCGACAGCTTGATTACGGGCCCCTCCAGCCCTCATGTGTGAGTGACCTTCGGCAATAAAACTTCCCCAAATTGCTGGTGCACGGTGAGGTGTATGAGGTGAATGGAATGTATTTAAAGTGCTTTAAGTAGTCGGAAGACTAGAAAAGAGTTGTACAAGTTCATTTAATTGAATCTATTTGTCATTATAACCTTTAAAAAATGTGGCTAAAAGGAGGATTAAGTCTTTAAGGTCTTAAAGTCTTTTCTTTCCTTAGATGTCATTTGCTGGCTGAGTTACAAAGTGAGCCCACTGTAATGACGCACACAGCTTTTCTGTCATTAAAATCATTTTCAACGGTGAGACTGAAACGGGGACAAAAGTCTACAACTTTGCGAGCTGCGAGGCTTAACTTTACAGTGGTGCTTTAGCTAATGTTCACACGCCAATGTTTGGCAGGTACAGTGTTAAACATGCTCCCAATTTGAGTTAGGCACGCTAGCATGCTAACATTTCAGAATGTTTTCAGTTTTATTTGATCATTAACAAACTACTGGAAAACTAATTGACCTGGTCAACGTTCTTCAGGAAACTTCAGTAATTCAGACTCATCCTCAAACTATGACAGTTTGTACAAAATGCTAAAACATTAACATTTAAGTTGATTGGACTAATAGCAGGAGATACTGATATCCACAGAGTTAGCTGGTGGCATGGCTAAAAACATTAAGGTGACTGACTGAAAAAATAAAGATCCACAGAAGAAAATGATGACAGACCGTCCTACAACAAAAATAATAGTAAATCTGTAGCACAAGCCTGGGCACACATGTACACACACACACACACACACGCAAGCACGCACGCAGAATGTCATTTCCTCAAAGACTGGGGGGCAGGCAGCAGGATTAGTGATTCTCATCAGATATGATTCAATCTAACTACAAATACTGTCTGTGAAACACAGAGGGAAGCGCCAGTGTTACCCAATGCAAACACACACACACACACACATATATATGAAAAAAGAACGAAAGAATGGAAAAACAGCATTTGAGAGAAGCCTGGAGCTTACTGGACAGACAAGAAGGAAATTAAAGAAGCAAACACACACTCCCACAACTCATAATCTTGTCTGAATTGGAGTATTGATTTTCCCCTCAGTTAAACTTCCACCAACATTCATAAACGCTCAATGAGGATTATATTTTTGAAAAACAACGATTTAATCTGCAGGTCACTTTGGGGTTTTGTAAGGAGATTAAAGAGTAAGAGATGGGTCACAGGACGGCGCTCAATCATTATTTGCTTACCTATGAAGGGAATGGATGCAAGGGAGTCATCCTCTATGGGGAGGGGGGCGAGGTTGCCATTTGGTTTGCGTGGGGCTACATCTCCTGTGGAACCAGGGACGAGACCTGAGTCTTCAAGGTCGGGAGAAAACAAAGATGGTTCTAGCCCGTCCACTGGCAGCACATAGTGAGGATGCCTCAAACCGTGGGCGTTCCTCCGCCCAGTGGGAGGTTTCTGCCTCAGCACCACTTCCTGTGTCTGTGCCGCCACCACCATCTCCGCCTGCCCCTCAACAGACCCTCGTTCCCTCTCGTGGTTTGTAGGCCTGTACGCTCTGTCCTGGGATTCGCCAGAGGCGAAGGCGAGGGGGGAGGTGGTAGAGGCGGTGATGGGTGCTGCTGTGCCCTCTGGGGACTTTTCGGTGTGGGGTTCCAGTTCAAGTGAGGGCCAGAATACGAAGGGTCCCTGAAGGAGTGGGCTTGCTGCATGATTCGGCCCGTCTTTCGGTAAAATGACGGGCTGTAGCTGCGGTAGCCCACCGGCTGATCGTCCATGCTCTGTCCATGTGGAAGCCGCCTGCTCTTGGGGGCAGCCTGCTGGGGCTGAGTCTGAGATTGGGACTGGGCGTGAGTCTGGGATTGGTGTTTAGAATGCGGCTGGCGAGACATGGGAGCAGCTTGTGTTGCACCGTAATGGTTCCCCTGCTTGGTGAAGGCATCAGTCCGAGCAGGCGGTCGAGGAGCCTGCTGTTGCCATGACGGCCTCTCAAACCGAGGCGAAACCAGTCCGGCTGCTGCTTGGTCCAGCATCTCTAAAGAGCGGCCATGGCGGTCATACAGGGCTAGCAGGTTTTCAGAGCGTGTTCGTGTATAGCTTGTGGGTGGATGGCCCCTACCAGGGCCCGATTCCCAATCTCCATAAGACCAGTAGGGCTCTCCCTGGGGTCCTGGTCCTGACTGCTGCAGTAACAGCAGAGTGTCCTGGGAGGCGCTGTGCGGCCAGCCACCTGACCGCTGCTGCTGCCTCCTCGATTCACTGAGCCGGTCCTGTGAGTAGCTGCGGTGTCGGGTCTGCATGCTGCGTCCTGACCGCTCAGGCACCTGGCTGAAGTACCAGTCTGACAGCGCCTGCTGACAGCGCTCACTGCGTCCGTGGCTGAGCTGGGGCAGAGGGGGACTGGTCCACGCTGAGCTGGACTTGCGTGGCTGAGCCTGTGAGGGCCCGGCAGCATGGTGATTAGGGTAGTGGACTTGCAGGGGGCTGGACAAAGGACCTCCTGATGAGGAGGAAGAAGAATAGGAGCGCCCCCTGGTCTGACCCTGAGGCTGCTGGCTGGTCATCCCGTATTGGATCTCCTCTGTCCGGTGAGCTGGGCTACTGTGACCCACACCGCCCGGCTCTCCTGCCCTCCCCTCCTGCCAGCTAGCTGGGCTTCCCACAGTGGAGCGGTTGTCCAGGGGCGAAGAAGGGCTTGAGGAACCTTGCCAGCGACTCCAGTTATCCAGCTGGTTCTGGCCCATAGGCGCTGACGGAGGAGCTCCTGCAGGGGACGTGGTTTTGCTGCGGGGGTAACAGGGGGGAGGTGGTGGTGGGAGGTTCTCATGTCCCCCTGAGTAGGGTTCGTTGCCTGTCAGGTAGGCATCCTGGGAGTATGCCTGGAAGAGAGAGGGAGTAGAGAGGAGCAGTTAGATAAGACAGAACAGAAAGAGATAAGCTAGAGAAGGTGAATGTGTGCCGCTGTGACGATTGCAAATCAAACATTTTTACACTCTTGCTGTAAACAAGATTTAAAACAACACAGACCAAAACAATAACTCTATTAGACAACTTCATGCCGCTGTTTATTACACAACAAACCCTAAAGTGGGACGGTCTCTCTCAGCCTTTGCCACAGTTTGTCCCCAGGGCCTCAGCTCTCAACACAAACACTTGCTCGCTTGCAAACTGCACAAACTGCCTGCAGCAAAAGCCTCAACCCTCACTGAACAGCAGCCTGCTGGAAATACACAAGTCCCAGCAATGTTGAGTACACACACACATACAGGGCATATCTACGCACACGGCGCTGCCTCGAAAGGATCTATCGTTTACAAGTACAGATTACTTTATCAAAAGACACATATTCACATTTAGAGCATCGATAACTACTTAATAACAACAAGAAACAAAAACAAAACGTCCCTTCTTTTGATTATGTAAAGCTTAATCATACAAACATTTAAGACAAGTTTTTCAAGGTTTACCTGAACCACGCAAACAGAATCCAGAGCCTTTCCTCAGCCCGCACGTTAAGCGTGTATTTACCACAAACAGATTCAGAGGAGGACGAGTCAGAAGACTTTTCCTCACCAACTCTCCTGCTACTCTTCAGATTCTACACCCTTCTCCTCCTCTAAGAAACATTCAATCGCTCGCTCCTTCTTCTATTTAATTTTGTTGAAAGTTTTCTGTTGATCTCCTTGTTGTCTCCTCTCTCGGATCTTTCCAAACTCCCTCCTTCCTCCCTCTCATTCTCTGCCTTACTCCACCCTGTGGGAGTGTGGAAGGAGGCGCAGCACTGGTGATGTCATGCCAGGAATGCAGCAGATTCATGCATAGCATCGAGGAAGGGGAGGAGCGTGAGGACAGAGGAGTGGGTTTTTAAAAAAAATGAAAACATGGCGGTGTTCTGAAATAGAGCGCTAGGTTTTGGACTCTTTTGACAGGAACGCAAACAATTCTGCATGAATGACTCAAATCTGGTGATCCGGTTTTGTGTGTTAGCTGTTGCGCTGTGTTAATGGGAGGGACGAGGCGAGGGATGATGCATGTCTCATCATGTGAGCCAGCGTGGGGCAACCTGTGGAGCGACAAAAATGTGTTGTACAGTACATGGGTGTGTGTGCACAAGCGCACATTTAACATTAACCTTTAGCAGTCAGGAAACCGGCAGCCTTTTAATGTATGCGTGTCGTAAGCTAAACACAGAGCAGAGCGCATCTGAGTCACTCCACAGTCATTCTTACAAAATCTCGACATTCTTTGTCAATAACGACAGGGTGAATCCAGGTTCAACTCTGCAAACAAGCGTGACAGAATACACATTTCGCTGCACGGAAAAAAGAGCGATTGAAGTGTGTAACTCATGACATGTGAGGGGTTAGTTTGATGTTTTTTTGTTGGATAAGGTGCGTTAAAAATCCCATACTCACACTTACCAACTGAAGCACATCTTCGTCTTTTGGCATAATGGAGAGCTCCAACATACTCTCACTGCAAGAGATACACAGGGAGAATAATGACAAATGAGAATTATAGGTGAAAAACTAAGGATATTGACTTCACATCAAATATCCTGACCATTTGTAACAAAAGCGATATAACGATTGTGAAAATCAGGACTGATACTGAAAGGCTTTTAAAATAATTTAGCTGATTACTGATTCTGATGTTTTTTTTTTCATTCATTCATACATTTCATGGGATGTATTTAAATTGTTGTTAGTGGTCCCTCTTGTTGAAACGTCACATGTCTGACTGCCTGTTGCTGATCTTTACTGAGATGGTATACCACTGGACATTTTCTTTCACATTTGATCATGAAAACAAATGTAGAGTTTGTCCAACAGATGACTTCTCCAGCCCAATAAAATATTCTTCTCTGAGTCAGCAGTAAGGTAGCGCTTGCCAGTATTAAATTAAACAGATAAACATCAGCTTCTGACATCAGTGCCAGCCACATTTTTTGCCGATGAGCTTATGTCTGTCAACGGGGCTGATATCGGCCAACACCAATGTTCAACCGATCCATTGGTGCATCCCTAGCTGCAAAATGTTGTGTTCTATTGTGTGCACCTTCAAGTCAACTTTGACCCATGAGAAAGTGAAGACAGTCTACACAGACCGAGAGATGATGTACTGAGGCCAAGCCTTCTTCTGCTTCTTCCAGCGTGTCTATTTTCACTTAAATTAAACGCTGATTTATGGATAGAAGGTTGGCCTGTAGAGAGGGAGGATAGTTTTTTTGATAAGAGAATCCTTGACTCAGGTGACGTGCATATGTGAAGTTTAGTAAGTCTGAAATGTATTTAGCTCTTTTTGGGTTTTAGACTTACAAACCGTTAATATGTAACACACTCATACATGAAAAGTTGATTTCAGCACCTAAGCTTAGGCATCTGAATCGAAAGACACAGTAGAAAAGGTCAATTAAATAAAATAGTTTCTTTTTTTGTAGTCTAAACAGGCAGCAGATAAAACCTAACTAGTCCATCCTTAGTCCGGTTTATGCTTCACTTCTTCAGCTCCCTGTTTCCCGTCTGGAGCGTCGTACCTTCTGACTTTAGGAGTGTGTAGAGAACACTGCTGCAGGCTACTCTTTATTAGAAGCATAGAAAATGTATGCAAGTGCTGTCTTCACTAAGGTGAGCTAACAAAGAAAAGGCAAACACACTGCTGGCTAAATCAATAGACCAAAGGCCCACGGTGCTGAAAGGCAGGACGTCTTACCTGTTCTGAATGAGGGCGATCACCTGCGAGTACGTCTTCCCTAAAACACTCTCTCCGTTCACTTTCACCAGACGGTCCCCTGCAAAAAACACACACAAAACAAACACATGTAACCACAATAGTTTATTACTATATCCAATGCATTTGAATTTACTTCAATACAAAATGATTTATTAAATACTTTCTTAAAACAATGTAATGGCCAAAGTGTGTCTCACTTCAACAAAACGTGAGGCGGTGCCTTACATCTCATCTCAGGCCAACAAAAAGCTTATGTATTATAATTCTTTAATAAAAAACTAAAATATCTCTCAAATAATCAGTAATGTGTTCCCAGTTTAAGAGTCTAAATAATATAAAGCCTGTGATGTCAGCTCTGCTTAGCCGTCTATGAACGGAGGCTCCTGGAAAGACTTCTGATAACTGTGTTTAAAGTCTGTATGCATTAATGTCACTTCATGCAAGATGGAAAACATCCAAACGTGCTTTGAGAGTGTGTGTTTAATGTGTTCACACTAGCATGGGACGTTCTGGATCTGACAGCGTGCACACTGTAGTACTGGTTGTGTGTGTCTGAGCTGAGACACAACAGAAGCACTTCAGTAGCTCTGTCACATTCAAAAACCACTGGAGGATTTGAGTTGTCATACTGGTATCTGTGTTAAATCACCCAAAGAAGTCTTGTGTGGGGAAAAATAGAAATGTTATGTAATGTAGTAAATGTGCTAAACCCCGCTCTGAATATTCCATGCAGTGTGCATCTGCTCCTGTCTGCAGAATCACATGATCAGAGCTCTCCCCGACAGATTTCCAATGCAAACCAGGATGCTAATGCTCCTGTAGCTTGTGTTCCTTTTACCTGTGCATAAGCCCGCCTGATGGGCCGGACCTTTTTCTCTCACGCTCTTCACAAATATGGTGTCCATCGGCTCCAGTCGACCTTTCTGGTAACCTGGAGTACAAAAGACAAAACAGAACTGATGAGGGATAAGACAAATCCCAAGAAACTTTATCATTCTTAAGAATAAATATTAAAGTTAAGAGCTTTGCATCTTTTCAGTAACTTTTGCTCTACTACCTTTCTGGCCTGCAGAAAGTTTAAATATGAGCTAAATTAACATTAAATATTTATGTTCCTTTTGAGTCCAAACGCAGTTGGACATGATTATTTAGCTGCAATGTTGCATAGTGTCCTCTAGGGGGCACAGATGAGCTGCACAATAGAGAGCAGAGGATGGAATAATGCAGGTCTCAGCTCATCATATCATTAATATCAAACTGAATGAGGTTTAAAGTTGCTGCCTAATAAAGAGAAGACAGGGAAAGAGGTAAAAAAAGAAAAACGTACCCTTTCCGTTACCGTTCTCCTCATCCTGCAAAGAACAGAGACAGAGAAAGTTACTGCTTCAATCCAAAGTCAAGTCAAATTAAGTCATATTTATAGTAAACAACCAGCGTCAAAGTGTTTAAAGAGACAAGTAAAAATATATCTGAGTACGAGCTCGAGTCAAAATAAGAACACTTTCATTGTGATATTCATAATTCAAGTTACTGCAATGAAACTAAAAACTATTCCAAACATGAAAAAGTGTGCAGCAGTAAAAACATGTGAGACAGTCTCCAACATCCAAGACAAAAGAAATGACCATTTGTTATATGAAGGTCATTGGGGTTTAAGTAAATATGAAAGAAGAATTGTTCTGTTTGTTCAACTGTACAAATAAAGACAGTTTTTTATTTCATAGTTTTGCAAGTACAGCACACATATCAAAATAATTACACCGAAGATAGCTAGCTGCTTTTTTTTTTTTTTTTCCATCTGTTGTCTCTAAATCAAAAACAACCACAGAACAAATAATTGAACAAATGCATTACAGAAAACAGCAAAAGACATCCATTAGTGTGAGATAATAAACAGAATCAGATTCACAAGGAAATTACTTGTGTGGTTAGACTGTTGTGCTCATGGCTCCTGGTTAAATTACAACACAATTCAAATTTTTTGTGGAGAAAAGCAGAGTCTGACCCAGGCTAACCCCGACATGACCTACGTCAACCGTTCGCTGAGCAACTGTACACTCTAATATATCAGTATCTGTTTCTACTAAGTGTAGAGACCACGGGAGAATTTAAACGTATCCTTTCAGTAATTTTCACCAGCAGTTCATGAATAACGCCAAATTCTCAGTCAAACCTCTTGAGAAAGACCTGTTTGTTTGTTTTTATGAGCTCTTAATGTTGGAGTTCAGCTGCGACACAAACTAACAAACACTGACTTTCAGGTTCGACAGTCTGCAGGTAAACATGACGTCATGTGAAGCAAACAAACGCACAAAGCCGTGGAGGATGGTGGCTGAAATGTGACTTGATGGCTGCAGGTTGTCTAATCATGTCCACACACACACACACATGCATTCAAACACACACACACACACACACACACACACACACACACACACACACACACACACACACACACACACACACACACACACACACACACACACACACACACACACACACACACACACACACACACACACACACACACACACACACACACACACACACACACACACACGTACTAAGCTGAGTGGACAGTTTGGAGTTAGAGGCTTGATGGGCTGACTGCTGCCTGGCTTTATGCTGCGCTGAGTGGGCTCATTCCTGGCTCTGTAGACAATAATGGGAGGGTTTAGAGGCAGAGAAAGGAGATCTGCAGACCCCAGAATAGAGCTCCGAGCTGGGGACACTCAACACCACAGGCAGCCCCAGTCGGAGCACATCCAGGACGGATGGGGAGACAGTAGGAGGAGGGAATAAGAACCTATAGCAGGTTTTCATTTTGTACAAAGGGGTCAACAAGGTCTGACCTTTTACATGTATAAAACTACCTGTGCTCACGTTTGTAAATACACCTGACATATTATACAGATCAATGTGATATGTAACACTAAACATAGCAAATGTAAATGTTAAAACACATGTGTAAGCACCTCCTCGACTCTTTAAGACACCCAGAAAATGCAGACACCATGGACTACAAGTGAGCCATTGGGCCATGCACCCAGTAGGCCTCTGGTAATTGGACCCTATGGGGGTAATTTGGGAGACTTCCATGAAGGCTCTTCAGATAAGAACAGGCAGCTCTGTAGGTCTGATTGTCCCATACCACCATGTGACCCTCGAGGCAGAGGAGACAAGGACAGAACCGAGGCCAAAGGCCAGCAGTGGGCCTATTGTCCGTGTCCGGCCTGGTACGGCCTGCCAGGGAGTGGTACCAGGCTAAGACAACAGATCTCATTCAATCCGGGCTCCTATCTGCAGCTGCTTCGTGGTGGGGTGGTACAATAATAATGAAGGCCTTGTTTCAGCTGTGCTTACCCCACCCCAGCCTCAACATCCCTCAATTTCACATCTGGTGCCGTTTGCCCCCCCACCTCAAAGAGCTAAATAACCGCTGGCTCACTGAGTCGCACTCCAAAGCAGCAGAACAATGCTGAGTCCACCGAAGACTAAAAAACAAGGCCAATTGTGAAACTGAAAGGGTATGTGGTTGCTGTTTATATCCCTCAACATGTTAAATTCAGTTTTTCTCAGAGACAAAGAGCCCATGTCTTTATTTTGCTTCCATATCTTGTTGATTTCCCTTCAATTAATTCGTTTACAGGCTTGTTTTGTGCAGCCCATTGTCTCTAATCAGCCTGTCTGTGAGTTCATTCTGCTCAGTTCAACATGCTGACCCTCCCCTCCAGTATGATTAGCTGTATGTCCAGGCTCTAATTGGCGCCGTCGCAGGTTCAGCAAGTGAAACATAGGCCGTTTGAAATCTTTTTCAAATGGCAGCTAGGCTAAAATGGAGACCATGTGTGCAGTCAAAACAAACATGGAAGCTGAAAAGAGGACGTAATGATGCTTAACACTGAATTACAGAGAGAAACCACGAGAGCTCTCCTTAAAACGGGATGTTTTTTTAAATAATTCAACAGCTTTTAACGTGATTCACAGCTTTTCTCTCACCTTGAGGTTGGTGTGCAGAGCTGACTCTGGAGGGTAAACAATGAAATGGCGTAGCGTGAAGCCAAAACCCTGGGAGTTCTTATGGAGAACCAGCGTCCGAGGACCCTTCCATCCCATGCCGACCCCCTCCCTTCCCGGCCGGGTCGCCATCGGCGGCCGAGGGTTGTCACCGGGTGAGGAGAGAACATCCCTCCGCCCCTTAGCCTGTGGACACAGAGAGAAAGAGAGTCAGTATAATTCAGGAAGGCTTGTGTATATTTCATTGGTCATTTTCAATAAAAAAGTTCTTGCTCAGATGTAAAAGAGTCTACAAACAGTAAAAGATAAATAATTTCCTAATAATAATGATGTAAACTGTGTAATTTTACCCAGAGGAGCATTTTCAATTACAGATATTTAAAGTTGGGGTTCATGATTCCAGTGACATGAATGGGATGTTTAAAAATGTATAGATATGCAGTTAGTGTAGAGAGTGGGTCAAGTTGTGACCACATTGACTGAGGTCTGATCGCAGGGGAGAGGAGGGTCCACAGGGGATCTGAAGGCAGGTTTCCACCCGCTCTCTAAATGTCTCATTGCTGAGGTCGGGTAAATAAGCCCAGCTAGCTCAGCTGACAGACACACGTGAGAACTCTCACCCTCATGCTGCCCTGACGACCCACATCTGTCAGTCACACACCATCACCTGACCAAACAGGCGGGAGAAAGGAACAGGAGGAGGGGGTCATCAGGTCTGCTTTAGTTTAGTTATCTTGAAATGCATGTTCACTTCCAAACTTTTTTTCAGTAAAACAAAACTCCCAAAAAACTTTTTTTGACCTATAGCAATAAATCATTACTGTGGGTGCCAGCTCAAGATTGAAGTCAATCAATGACTACACACTGCTTATGCTTTAGCCTAGAGAGACAATATTTTGCTAAAAAACTGTGACTGAGTAAAACACAGCTCAGTGTATAAACTGTGGAATTGTTTTAAAATTAAATATAGTGTTCACAGTCAACAAACTTTATGTATAAATGTACACAATTCAGTGCATAACTCAACATTTTAACCCTGAGAAAGCTCCAAAAACACCTTGAACACAGTAAATAAAATATACAAATTTTGGAAAAACATTGAGTTTGTTTCTGATGGCTTGTTTTTTCAAGGCTTCAACAATTGGACAATTCATTAAACTGTCATTTGAAAAGAAAGATTTTGATCCAATATTTTTTTTTTTATTCAGGTTATCCTTTAGACTTAGACACCCGGACACATGGGGTGGGCTGTCAGAGTGATGTCAGAATAACTGCCACATCATGCCTTGCTCAAATGAACTACAGCCCTGCCTAAGTAAATCTACATCTCAGAAGCCTCCTCAATTTCCAAGCTGAGTCCCTACAGACTTGTCTTCAGCAAAAATGCCCAAGATGCCCAAGAATTCATGGTTTTGAACTCATCAAATGTAAACATTTGCTGTTTCTTCAGTTTGTTATTAAAGTAAACTGAAAATCTTTCGGTCTGGGAATCCTGGCAAGACGAAACAAGCAATTCAAACACAATAAATATTTTCTATTTGCCGACATCTTGTTGACCAAATAATTTAGTCTTGGCAGAACTACACAGATGTCTGCACGTCTGATACCATTTGCTATTAGTACAAACTGACTGTTTATTCAGTTTAGTGTAATCTGTTGCTTGCAGATCATTAGAAATGTACACTTTGAAGACCAATAAGAATTTGTGGTATGTTTATGCTTCGGACTGGTTCATGTCAAGATGCTTCCAAAAAGAATGAAAAAAGAATTCCCGTTTGCAAAAAACAACTTCAGCGGTTGCTCTTTAATTATAAAAAGAGAAAGTCTCGCATAGGCTAAATGCAAACAAACGCAGAGATGCAAACATGTAAATCACACAGAACACTATGTTCCCAAATCACTCATCTCTGCTTCACGACAGCAACGTCTGCTTTGTTTGAATCTGCAGCTCAAGTTTTAACAATACATGAGTTATAACTATGATGAAGAATAAGACGATGGAGAGAGGTTACCATGATCACAAGATACATCTCGTAAATGTTAGCCTGTGAAGTCATTCAAGCTAAAAACAGCACCGTAGTCCACCAGGACCAAGCAGACAGCCACTTTTTATACAGCATTCTCAGTGTGGTTTGGAAACTGAATAATGCCAGAAATAAGAGCGCTCCAGGGTTACGATTAAAAAAGCAAGTAAACAAGATGTAAACATGTACTTAGGAGTGTTAAATTGAGGTTGATGCATGCCTTCTTTCTTGACTTTGACTTATTTAAGTTCGAAAATGTTTGTTTCTATGCTTTAGCGTTAATGGGCCAAAGGTGAGCATGTCTAGACTGCAGGCAACAATCCCCCTCAATTATGTGAGCACCCCATGTTTCAACTCCTGTCTCCTGTCTACACACACACACTCTCACTGATATACAACAATCAAACACTTTACCGGGCAAGCCTGTATGCAGCCACACAACAGCAGGAAGTATAGTAGTGTTGCGAGCCGGCATAACCAGATGCTCCTAAAAATAACAGGTAGAGGTACTTCCACATGTTAACTCCTCTTTCTCTTTCATACCATTTTTTCCTCCACTTAGCTCTCCTCCCTTTATACCTCTTCTTCCTTTCCTCACCACACGCTCAGCTGTGATGGAAATCCGATGTGCTGACTTTGAACAAACTTTTCTCCCTTCCTCTACTTTTAAGTTCCATTCAATAAAAGAGCAAAATTAAGTTTGGACGTCCTGACTGAAATGTAATTTTTAGGAAATTTGTTTGGGTGAACTTGAATGTACTTTTCCAAAGTAAACGCCTACTCTGAAGGAAGAATACAGGGATATACTGCAGATTGAACTCCCTAACACTCAGAGCACGATCTTTAGTTTGGCAGTCTAAACAATGACAAGTAACACCTGTAATTTTCTGAAAGAGGCGAGCAGTGAGTCCCATTATGTGGCATGAGAGCTGCACAAAAGAATCATGTGAGGAAGGAGGAGTGTTTGGAGTGTTAAATGAAAAAAGATAAAGAAAAACCAAGAAAAAAGAGGAAATGAAAGAGCAAGAGGGTGAAAGGAGGAAGAGACTGAGAGAATTCCTCAGAGGGAGCGGTTTGGCACGGACAAGTTGAAACACAAACTGTAAGCTGGTGGAGGAGGTAAGGCAGCAAAGAGAGAGTGAATGAGAGGAGACGGATGAGGAGGACAGAGAAAGAGGAGGAGGAGTATCGAGCCCAAGCGAGGGACAGGCTCCAGCATGCCGGTTTCGACCACATGGCCCCTCCCGGCGCAGGGAATACCGAACCCTGTGATTACCCAAAACACACAGGGTCTAACTGGGTCTCTGAGCCAGAACAGTTTCCCACTCGGCTGTTCTGGACTATGTGGGATGCATGTGTGTGTGTGTGTGTGTGTGTGTGTGTGTGTGTGTGTGTATGTATGTGTTCGTGTGACTGTGCTCATCTATTCTGCCCACTCTACATTGGACTTTTTTCCTCCCTGAAGCCCCGAACAATCCTCTCCTATACTGGTCACCTTGACAAGAGCAGTTTTCACTTTAGTTTTCACCCAAAAGACAAAAAAGTCTGAACTTGCTGACATGCTCCATCCTCTCCCAGCTTTGAGACACTCAGTTCAACCAACAGGCAGCTGGAAAAAAAAATTCTGTGGTTTTCGGTCCTAACTTGACTTCCTATGTAAGCTCAGGGCACAGACATGGGGAACCTCGCTCTTATGTTATGCTGAGAAAAGAAGACGTTTGTTTTTTTCCCCCCCCTTTCTCTTCAACTGGGAATGTATCCCTTCAGCGCTGAAATCTGGACACGTTTTCATCTGTTCAGGCTAATAATGTCTGAATACAGAGCCCTGAGGGATCCCAATTATGGCATGAAGATGACATCATTAAAAGAAATGTTGCACTGGGAACAAATGTTTTCGAATATGCAGAGCAACTCATGAAGCCACACAACAGCTTCCTATATTGAGTGGATGTTAAGTGGTTAAAGCTGTTTACTTAGACAACACACACACACACACACAAACCAGCAGCAAGCAAGTCATTGTGGATATTTCCTCTCCTGATTTTAATTAGGAGAGGAAATAGATAGATAGATTTTAATTAAAATTTGTTTAGGATGTCCATTGTTACCCCATCTCTGTTTTGATACTGTTGTAAATCAAATGTACAACTCCAGATTTCTACATATTGAAGAGCTCCTTCTGCTTTCCTGAAATCTAAATTAAAAAAAAGTAAAAAGGAATCCATTCGAGATACTTTGAATACAGACATCAAGTCGACTTTTTTGTTCTTAAGACATAAGTCGTTGTCAGACTGTAGTCACAATTGTACAAGCGTACGTGTTGGTTAGCACACCTACACACAATCCTCTGCTCCCTCCATCCAGAGGAAAAGCAGCACGCAGGAATGCAGCGTCTGTCGGGGGAGCCGGGCTCCTGCTAAAACCCCAGCAGGCAGAACAATAATGCTCTTTTAAAAAGCTGAGAGCTGCAACCTGTTTGAAAAGTGGAGCTTTACGGACGTTACAAATGCTGACGAGCCTTTAATCCTGACAGCCGCGGCTGTCTGCACTCAGGGCTGCCAAGAGAGACCAGAAGAGGAGAGGGATAGCGTGAAATGTCAACCACCTAGGACCTCACATTTCCTGCACTCACCGGCCACATGGAGGGAGCGCTCCACCACCTCTGCAGATCTAGATGCATCTTAAATCCAGAGAACGAGATGCATGATGAGTGTATGAATGTCCTGCTGTGCTCTAACGCTCCAACTGAAGAACACAACCTGCCTGACAAGCAAGGATTCAAATCTAAAGCAGCACGCACACAAGTTCAAATATCACTGTTTAATTTACATAACAAGTGTGCTTTATGAGCCAGGCATGTGTGTGTTTGCACGCACCTCAGTGTCAACATGAATATAATATGTGTGCTTAAAAACCAGTTCAACCCCATCGCAGGTTTTATGCAGATAAGGAATGATACAATGTCAGTCAAACTGGGTTTTCTACTTCTAGAGCCGTTGGATTGCTTTGTATGGATGATTTTTTTTTATTTTCACTAAGAATCCTGGGCACAAGAAAAGGATTGAGAATAACTTCAACAGAGTTAGCGCAATAAGCTATGGCTGTTTCATGTCGTGATATTAATCAAAACCGGTTCTGATGCAGAATAAGAGAAAATGAATGATGCAAATGTAAAAAGCATGCAGACGCAGTATCTATCAATCAGACCGTGCAACTTGGCATCAACAGTTAGTTTACTCCTCACTCCAAATGAAACAGACACCTCTCTCCTAAAACAACAGTGTACATTATGTGTTTGTCCCAGCTGTGTGTGCGTACAGCTTCTATCTCTCTCTCTCTCTCCTTCCCCCCACACCTACATTCCTGATTGTGCCACATTTCTTTAACTGTGTCAACGAGAGAGAGAGAGAGAGAGAGAGAGAGAGATAGGGGGATGCTAACAACCTATATCCACATGTATGCAGACCTGGAATGAGTTCATGTGGGGAAGTGATGTCCTGAATTCTGAGGGCAGTCACCATGAGGAGTGGTTGGGGGGGATGCACAATTGTACAGATCCACAGGGCCTCGCTACAAGTGGCACTCTGGAGTGTTCTAATGTATCTTTGGCTGCTAATTAGAAACCGCTTCAAGGAAAGAAAGGGTCAAGATGCCACATGTACAGTGGCAGATTGATAGATTGTTTGGTAGCTGAGGCTAATCAACTTCACTTAATTTTGTCCATAGATTTACCATCTTTTAAGCGTAATGTGTATTTTTGATGTAGAATTCATTGAATATATTACTTTAATTGTGTTTAAAAAATGTAATTTACATTGTGAAAGAAATTAAAGAGCTTGAAAAAGGTTTGAATTGTAGTCTTAAAAAATATTTAAATGATTTATTTATGTATAGTCTGTCTTTATCAAACCTTTGTTCACCGTTATGTCACTGAATAGTCCCTCCCATCACAAAGAAAACCTTCCAAAAATCACGGCAGGATTCTGAAATAAAGAAGGCACGATACACACGCCAAGAGGGAAATTTCAGCTGTTGGGATTTTTTTTTGCATTCACATCCAGTAATACAAGTTGATGTCACGTTTCCCGGAAAAGCCTCAAACACAAGGAGCGCCAAACCGAAAAACAGCCCGAAGGCAAGACAAGTGCCTGCCTGGAGACGGTGAAAGGTTAAAGAATCTGTCGTCAAGTGAGTGGTTAACAGTTTAAAAACAATGGGTTCAGTTACACATGTACCCACGCAGCGGTTTGTGCCGAAGGATTGTGCTGACATCACTGTGTGTAATCTTATTCGTGCAGAACCACAGAAATGACCAAGGGGCTGCAAACAACACGTTTTGCACAATCATGTTCCTGGGGGAGGAGTCGCTTACATGCTCCTCTTTAAGATCATTAGATTGTGAATGGACGAGATGATGGAAAGAAACTCAAAGAAAGCTACAATTTAAGGATCTACTGACTGCTTAAACTGAAGAATCTTAAAAAAAAAAAAAAAAAAAAAAAACAGGCTTCAGTTTCTTGGCTGCAGAGATTTGAAAACCCATTTTAAAATGTTTTATCAAACTGACATTGAATTGACAGATACATTATTAAGAGATGACACTACTCACGCTATGTGTGAACTGTTAATACCAAAGTTTCTGATATTTTACAGGCTAAAAGGTTTATCAGGTCACCTGAAAAATAAGAAATACCTTCCTTAGCATTTTATACACATTGTTCTATTCACATCATCATATAGCTGCAAAGTAAAACATTAAAACTGATAGTCAATAAAATGGAATCATTCAACTACAGCTTGTGAATCAGTGAATCTGTTATTAGTCACAGGACAGATTTCCCCAAGGCGACAATATCATTTGATTATAATGAATTGAAACCAGCCACTAATTGAAGCCACTAAAGGAACCTTAGTGACCTCTCCTTACCCTGAGCTGGTGAGAGCTCTGGCTGCGCCTAACAGGCATGCTGGGTGGCGTTGGTGCCGAGGTTGAACCTGTGGGGCCGCGGAGCACCGCCAACCAGATGCAGCGAGGTTCAGGGGCGCTGCAGTCCACCCCCACCGGGTTCTGGAAGCTCCAGTCAGACCCGGACAGAGCGGGGCACGGGAGCATAGCAGCGGGCATCGGGGCGTGGACTTTTCTCTGATCCGCCACCCTCAGCGCCCACATGGGCTGCTCAAGCCAGATGCAGAAATACAGATGATATAATCAAAGGAAAGAGGGAAAAAAAACGGGCGGGTCAGGCAGAGGGTAGAAAATCCTCCTCTGGGGTCCTCCTGTCATTCAAAAAACGAAATCTTCCGTCTCCTGGATCACCTCCATCACTGTCAGTCCTGATTCTGCAGAAACTTTAATCCCGCCGGTTCCACATCACAGCCTCCTAACCTCCGAGAAGCAGCTCTCTGAGACTCTCACACACACTCTCTGAGGGGCAGGGGAAGCAGAAGGCAGGCTCCTGGGCAGCATATGGAGGAGTGTGTGTGGCGCAGGGATCAGAGGTAGGTCTGGTTTCACTACAGACACACACACAGAGCGACTGACAGAGAGTGACCCTCCTGTTGGTGTCCAGTGATGTTCTGTATACAAAGCCAGTCAGTCCACCCCCAAAAACACACACTACTGTCCCGGAGGGCTGGATCTTCTGTCTCTCCTCCCTCTCACTGCCCTCTCTCTCTCTTTCTTTCTTCCTTAGAGTGCCAAACAAATTCCCTTCATCTCACTCTCATCTCTTACTCTCGTTTTTTTTTCTTTCTCTTTTGTTTTTCTTCCTCATTCCATATCCAGACAATCACTTGCTCCCTCTCTCCTCATGAGCGACTAACACAGTCAGCAAACAAACAACTATGCTGTGTAGTAAACTGGAACCGGATTTTGTAGGCAAAAGTTGGGGTCCAGATGACGATATCCCCTGCAAGCTGCTGCCAAAAAGATAAATCCACAGTAGAGCTCTCTTGTGTTGCAGATGCATATAGAGGGAGCCCGGCGTTCGCACATGTGCTGCATGTGTGTGTGTGTGTGTGTGTGTGAGCGACACAAACACAGTGACAAAGCTGTGATCCCAGTGCTAAACTCCACAAAAGCCGGTCCTGCCTCCGCTGGCCCTCCCCTCCACCCAGAGGGGAGACAAACACAGAGAGAAAGAGAGAAAGAGGCCAATTTCCAGCACAAAGAGAAAAGAAAACATTTGCCTGGCTGCTGTGTTCACTGTTTCACTCCCTTTCTTTTTCGCTAAAGAGAGAAAAACATAGAAGAGGAAGATGGTAATTAGAGGAGAAAACGGGAAAGATGAAGGGTTTGAAAATAAGAAGGTCTGCTGCTGGATGTCAACATGACCTCCATACTCCTGCTCAAACACTCCTCCTCACAGGATCCAATCTGACACCTAACGCTAAATCAGTCAGTCCGTCTCCCACACAGCGGCAGAGTTCTCACCAAACAGCCAGGCGTCCAGGATTCCAGCGAGAGAGGTAGACAGGTGACCATGTTCTTTGAGACAATGCACTTTCCTCCGCTCTGACGTTGTGAACATGCCGCACATCCGTTACAGAGGAGGTTAGACAGGTTTCACCTGCCGCACAGCAGGGCAAGTACTAACCTGACCGGAGAGGGCCACAGACCGTACACACAGACTGTACCCTCTGGATACCCACACCTCAGGGCTGAACAGTTTCAACATAATCCACTAAAATACTACAATATAATCAATATGATCAGTTCGATCTCTATTTATGTGTCTTTCTTTCCTTTAGTATTTATAGGAACAGATTTTCATTTGTTGAAACCACATGGCAGAACTCCTGTTTCTTGATTGGTATTACAGAAAGTATTGTTTTACAGTTCAACATTGCAACATCTTTGGGAAGATGACGGAATATCAAGAGACATATTTGAATCTATTTACAAATTCAAAAAGTAATATATGCCAACACTATAAGGGCCAACTCAGGATAGGAAAATAACTTGTTTTGTACAACATGTTAGTTAACCAAGGATAAAGAGTTTTTTAACTGCCAACTTGGTTCAAAGCTGATCTTCACAGAGAGGGCGGAAATCTAGCAATGTTGATGCGAAAAGCTTTGGACGCAGCTCAAATGCGAACTGCAAATGTTTATCTGGTGGACACGAGTCCTCTTGATCAGTTAAGCTCTAAAACACTGGATCCTACACTTTACATAATGCCCCCAGCTTTCCATCACAGACTTCCAATCCAAAAACAAATCAAATAAAGTCCAACAACATAACTTAAAAAAAAAAATCAATCAGGAAAATGTTTCTCCTTTCTTTCAACTTATGATGGAAACACTGAACTGTTTGTTTCGACAGAGAACTGTCAAAGTGATGTCACTTGTTTGCTTAAATTACCTAACCTTAACATGCCAGTCAAATTCCAGCTATAGCGGCAAAGCCTCGGGTGTATCTCCTGGAAATGTTGTGTTTCGAACATATTCATTTGTCTTTATTCGTTTGAGGAACAATGCAGACATTTGTTTTTTTAAGTTTCACTGCGTCACTTTTTAAGGACCTTTCCTGCAATAATAACGGACCCGGTTTAAGACCTAAGTGCAACTTCTCTGGTTTATATAGTTTATATAGTCAGCATGCTTTCACATACATACACACTGTTTATATGGGAACACTAAAGGCTGAATCTACCACTAGCTCTCACACACATACACACATCCCACTGAGTCACAGTGGAGTATAAATATACAGGCTATGTAATTTGGGTTCCTCATAAAGTCAGAGGGCTGTGGGGGGGTTTCTCTTCTCTCTCCTTCTCTGTGGTACAACACACCACCAGGCGGAACCGCCCTTCTGACAGAGGAGAGTGGATCACCGGCGAGTGCAGGAGAGGGTCCGATTCTTTCCAGGAGGGAGAGATATGTAAAAAAAAAATAATAAAAAAAAAGACCTCACCCTGTGAGTAGAAAAAAATCACAGACGGCTGTCAGAGCAGCAGCTGAATGGATCAGACGTGTGAAAAGCCAGATGAGGGTTTAATATCTGAAAATATACAAGCCCTCTATTTCGCAGTGGCAGCACAGAGTGGGGTTTTCATATCAAATTATTCCTGATAACAGTTAGCTTTGGCGAGGGGACAGCATGGCCTAATTTGGAAACAAAAGGTCTCTGTGTGTGCAGCTCCCTCTTCTTCTTTCTCTCTTCACCTCATGGCATTTACAAAAAGAAGCATAAAGAGGGTAAAAACAAGAGTAAAACACAAAAGGCCTTGACTTACAGTTTACATGGAGGAGGACACGCAGTCACACATGAAGAGTTGTGACAATAACACTTTTTCTCACCGCTGACCCACACTGTCTGCACAAACCTGAGCGCACAGGCAGTCGTTATAGAGGTCTAATGCACATCAGCGCAGCATAACGCCCCTATCAGATGATTTGATGGCTGAGTAAACTCTATGCAACCTGGAGAGTATGCAGACTTCATATTAAGGATTTCTTTCATCAAAACCTGGCAGCTCAAAGCTCTTGATGTCAGAAAATCAAAGGCAGACACGCGCTGCTAATCTCTGAGGAGCGACGCCTCGTTGCCTCCTGCCCCGGCCTCCTCCGCTCTCTGATAACAAACACATCAGTGGAAAAGTGAAAGGAGGGAGGGAAGGAGGGAGGTAATGCCGGTGTAACGGACGGATTAGTTTAGTGATACGTTTTAATCCCCTTAACACTCATAACATGACCATGAGCCAAAAGATTTACACGGAGGCCTAACACTTGTTTTTTTTTTTGTTTTAAGAGTGGCCAGACAAAAAAGTTTCCTACAGAGGTTCAAGAAAGAGGAATCCGCTGAAGAAACGCACATGAAAGAGATTGAAGAGTAAGACGGCTGAATGAGGCTGAAGTTGGCGTGTCACAAACAAACCAGGCTGCTGCAGACACAATCATGGGGTGTTGTCTCTAAACACAGGCAGTGGATATTTAGGAAAAACTTAAGTAAGGGTCAATGAAGGACAGTCTGAGGTTCCTGCTCACCATGAAACTCAAAAAAAAAAAACAGATGAGCCAAGACAGAGATGGAAGGATTCCTTTAACACCAGAATGTGAAGCTTTGAAAGCCTGAGAGTGACTCCTGTCCCCTACTGGTGAGAGAAAAGCTGTGCTGACACGCCGCTGACTCAACATGTGGCACCAGAAGTTTTCATGGTTTCAAGCAGCTTCCACATGACTTTTCAGTCATCACAAATGTGCTGTTAATGAAATAAAGTGAAACAAAGAGAGCCACAAAAATAAGCATGATGACCAGCGGTGGTTTCCAGCCTGCCAAAGAGTTCAAAGGAGGAATCTGGAGAGTCATTATATAACTAGGGGATTTAAGACAATTTAGTCTAAATGTTGTTGGAAAGCTGATTTAATTTTAAATACTGCACTTTAGTCTTTTTTTTTAACCTCCAAATACAACATTTTAGAAGGTAAAAATTACTTTCACTCATGACTTAAAGAGGCAAAGGACTGAGGCTTGGTAGTTTTGCATTTTTCTTGAAATCTATTTTGTGGAATATTTCGCCTACAGGGAAAAAACAATATGTTAAAGGTTGGAAAGATTTTCAAGTTAAATTTCCAATTTCCAAAAGATTAAGTTAATAAATAGAAAATTAAAAATCTTAATTTTTCATTGTTCAATGTATTCATTTTGTTCAGTTATTTAAAAACAAAAAATATTGTGCAACACCAAGTTCTTGCCTCTGACATACATTGATGGAGTCAATATCTGTTGACAGAAACATATTAAAAGATTAAAAAAAAAATGTTTTAGCAAGTTAATGAGTTTTAAATCTCCAGTAAATCCCAGTGTCTTCTAACCTTTAGGCCTACTTGTCTACATTCAGTGTGTAGTTACCACTCAGCAGCCACTAGAGGGCAGCTGTGACACAGAATTTAACTAACGGCAGATGGGTGGGGGTGACAGAGCAAAGGGTGGGGACACAACATGCGGCCATATACCACCACACTTTTATGCTGAGATGGCTTAAGCAGGGATGTGAATATGTAAGTGTGTGTGTGTGTGTGTGTGTGTGTGTGTGTGTGTGTGTGTGTGTGTGTGTGTGTGTGTGTGTGTGTGTGTGTGTGTTGGGGGGGGGGGGGGGTTTGTCTTCACAACCTGCGAGTACTTATCATTTCTCTTATGTCAGGTACTAATTAATAACATGAGAGGCGGCTGAGAGAGGGCAGCCGGAGATCACAGAGGTCACACCTGTTGTGGCTTTGAGGAGGAAACTCGGGGAGTCCAGAGACAAGAGCAGGTGGACTCTGTAGAGGAGAAATGTGTGCGAGGGTCAGATATCCTATCAACCCACAGCTGAGGGGAGCTGGGTGGTCTGAGCAGGACTGATACAATAACAACAACAACGATGTCCAGCTTACTCCAGGAGGATGGAGGATTAAAGTGTTTAAGGCAGCCCACCTGACCATGTGTTCCTCCTCAAGGAAGCTAACGCATTATGCATGCATTCTTTACTTGCATGTCTGAGTCTGTGTGTGTGTGTGTGTGTGTGTGTGTGTGTGTGTGTGTGTGTGTGTGTGTGTGTGTTTTACACTGCAGTCTGTCGGCATGAAAACATTTATGAAACAACACTTCATCTTTACATCACACCCTCACAGGTCCAAATATTAATTATGTATAACATTTTCCTAATTATTGACACAAACTGCTGCCAAACACTTGCAAAGGCTGCAACTGACTGATCAGTATTCCCTTGTGATTATTCCTTTAATCTAGTAAATGTGCGCAAATAGGACAAAATGCCAATCTCAATTTCCTAAAATCACGGAGGCATCTTTATCAGTGTCGAGTCCAAAAACTTCCATTTACTATTACAGTCGACTCAGAAAAAACACCAAATTCATGACTACAAATATTCAATTTAGTCAGAGAACAGCTTAAAAAACTGTAAATGCCCAGTAAGTAGAGATATTCAAGAGAGAAAAGCAGCAAACCATCATTTTTCAGCAGATTTAACCCATCG